AACAGTTTTTAATTCGGATTTCAAAAATGTATATATCATAGGTACATTGACATTGGCAAACCTTAGTTATTAAAAAAACAAAACAGAAAATCCTAGGTAGGCCTTGGAATTATCAGATAGTCTTTTGTTTTGAATACCAAACCAGAGCTCAAATTGAACATAGTAACAGAGTTTGGAAGACTGAGAAGAACAGAAATAAATCGAGCAGTGAAATTGTACAGAGAAAAGTCAGGCTTTGTCTACAAAATAAGGGTCAACATTATCATCATTGTCGATATTACCATCAATTCTGTGTTCATGTTTCACCATACTTTTTTATACCCTTATAGTTTTCATCCAACAACGAATTCATGGCCACTTAGGGAAATATGTCATTCAATTTAGCACTGAAAAGTCCATTTCAACGTACAAAATTGGTATATAGCGTCCGTATAAAAAAAAACACAGTTGGTGATGGAAGCCAAAAGAAGAAAAATTTGACTACGCCACTTTGTAGAGCCGAATGAGTAACTATAACATGCCTTTTTTAAATCCCACTACAAATCAAGTCAACAGAAAATTAAACTATTTTGGGAGAATTCGACTTTTTCCGTTTCTCTCTTTGAATAACGAAACTTTCTTAGCGGCATTTTGTTAATTACCTGAATACGCAACTTTGCCTCCATTTATCGTATCTTTAGCAGTTTCCGAGATGCCAATAGAGATTATAATTCCTGTCTAGGTGAGGGGCGGAGGGGTGGCAAAAAATATTCGATTCACACAGGGCGGAATGAAACGTAATTTCAGAAAAGAAATAGTGTTGCATTTTCTTGCAAATATAGTTTAACCTGGGTTTACAATACTTAACTGTATTGTAAACTGAATGTTCGAGCAAATGTATATCGTTTTTGAAAGTCAACATTTGTAAGAAATGCTACTATGATTATTTTATTAGAACTTTTTCTGTTTAAAATGACGATGCTATTACCTGCGGACGGCGCTTGTTCAAAGTGAGCTACACCAAGGTAGTGACTTATTTATACGTGGAAAAAGAAAGAAGTATCGGCCGCATTCAACGCATGAATGCCTAATTCTATGAGTATCTCTTTGCTGTCATGTCGGTCTGTATATTCCGAATATTTCTCTTTGAGTGTGTGAGAGTGATTACAGAGACACAAATAATTCTCATGCACGTTTTTGCAGTCTGCATTGTGGGTTAAAGATGCATGGGTGCAGTATTGCTCAGAGACAAAAACTTCAGGTATCATTTTCTCGGCAGCATCTGCGTTGAAAGCTGCGTTAAGTCACGATTTCTAGAAAAAATTGATGAAAATAGCGTCAAGTAGGTTGACGGATCCTACGCAACGCCGTCATAAGTCACAAAGGATTAAATTCAGCAAAACTTAAACTCTCTGAGAAAAACATTAGTTACGAACATGTACAGCACAGAAACTAAACGGATCAAGCCAGTCAAACTGGCCCATGCAATTAGTCCATAGACATTCTTTCCCTACCCTACCGGTAACTGCCGTTCATCTGGCAACGTTGCCCCATCCCATATCGTCAGGCACCGCCACAGTACGAGCACAATAATCAAGTAAACCGTTACGCCCAGATAGCTGAAGGAGACACGTATCGAAAACATTTCTTTTTCAATGAAAGTTTCAAGTCAAATGTATCGGGAAGCTTATGATGTATGAAATAGGGCTTGCAGTAAAGACCCTCAACAGGTCAGCAAGTGATGTCTGTCTGTCTCAATGTCTGTTGAAGATGATGATGGACTGTGAGATTGTGACGGATTGATCCTGTTTACAATAGCTGATTCCCAGGCTGTTGAGACTTGGGTACAACTGTAATTTAGTTGAGTTCGCAGGTGGCTCTGTTTTATTGGTGACGAGAAGTTTCCTGGTGTTACTCGTCGGGGGAGTTGGAGGCATACCTCTAACAAAATTCCAGTACTCACCCAGTAGGTCGTAAGAACTCTAATCTGCACTATACACTAGAAGCAACTACTACTAGATTACCCTCGATATACGTACAAGTGCAAGTTCCCTGAAATACTGGATAGCCGCGCGATAGCAATGTGTCGGGAACAATCTCTGTAAAGAACAAGCCAGAAATAAACTTGTTCCGTAAGAATGTTCACTTTTTCCGTGTTTTAAGGGCAAATGTACGGGGAAATGTATGATGTGTGAAATATGTCTAATAGATGCGTAGAACTACCGGCGTTAGAAGTACAGGGTCCATCAGAAAGAACGCATGTTTTTTAAATGAGTAGTACAGTCAAAATAAGTATGGGAAAAATAATTTATTATATCAAAATACTCAGAAATGCATGCCATTTTTTGAGTAAAACAAAATTTACGTTCTAAAAACTATGTCGGCCATATGGCGCCATTGAGCCGAAATGCAGGAATTAAGCCTCTCCCGAAATGAGCACATTGCGTCGGCCAGCATCCGTGCAGGAATCTGAGGTTACTTCTCTTCTTATTACCTCCTTCAAATCGACGGGGGTCCGAGGCTTGCTTTGATAAACTTTTGATTTCAGGTAGCCCCATAAAAAAAATCACACGTTGACAAGTCCGGGGAGCGAGGGGGCCATGGAATATCGCCATGACGTGAAATGAGACGTCCTGGGAATTTTTGCCGAAGAAGTTCCATCGAAGTGCGAGCTGTGTGAGATGTTGCCCCGTCTTGTTGGAACCACGCAGTTCTGAGACGGACACGTCGACGTCGAAGTTCCGGAAAAGAAAATGTTGTTCAGCATGAAACAGTAGTTGTTTCTCCATCATCCTCAAAAAAATACGGGCCAATAATCATCGTTGGGCCTACTGCACACCAAACTGTAACTTTCGGCGTATGCAGGGGGTGCTCATGCAACTATTGGGGGTTCACTGGAGACCAATATCGACAATTTTGTTTATTGACGTATCCATGTAAATGAAAATGTGCTCCATCACTCATAAACAACGTCATGTCATTGTTACCCAACTGTTCAATCATGAGCTGTGCAAAATTAACACGTTGTGCATAATCCCCTGGCAACAGTTGTTGACAAACTTGGATTTTGTAAGGATGGAACACTGAATCCTTTTTCACGATGCGACGTACAGAGGACGCGTGGATCCCTAGGGAACTGGCACGCAAATGGACGGAACGATTCGGGCTTTGCAGCGTATCAACTCTCACTCTGTGTACGGGGTCTTCGGGAGTTCTAACAGTACGGTTTCGTCTTGGCGGTTTTTTCTTGATCACCTTACCTGTAGTGTTGAATGTTTCCACCCATCTCAAAATGGTGTTACGGTCTGGTACTGTCCCACGACGTGGAACAGGAAAGTAAACGCGAAACTCACGTTGCGGTCGAACGACAGACTCACCATTTTGAAAGTACCGACGTACAGCGAACACACGATGCTCAACGTTCCAAACCATCTTGCCAACTGAAACGGCACTTCTCCCACTATCCAACACGCCCTTCCCCACCGACACGGGACCAGCCCACTCGATGTAGTACCCATTCGAAAAACATGCGTTCTTTCTGACATACCCTGTATATTAATATCGCAACATCAAAAAATTGCGATAATCTTTTTTTCAGAAATGATCCAAGTACCGCTGAAACGTCAAATAACGAGGTTTGAGCGATTTTTGTTTTTTCGTTTTTTGCATTTTTCTCCGCAGCCCTGGTCTGATTTTTAAAGCTTTTCAGTCATTGACATAGTAGTAACCTTGTGTGAAAATTTCATCAAAATCAGAGCGGTAAAGTCAAAATCACGAAAGATGACTATTACGTCATACCATACATTGTACTGAAGTAATCAATCGAAGTACGTCGCTGATAAAGTCAGGAACATAATGACAACAAATTTATATTATGAATTTGCGAAGTGATAATTTTTATTTTCATTTTATTTCGTGGTTTTGAGTGATACCTTGATAATAATTTTAGTGGGGAGTTTTTGTTTAAAAAAAAAACAAGTTATGAGTAGAATACTTTAAGACAGGAACACGAATGACCAAAGTATTATTCGAAAACAACCTAACCTACTTTAACATAACCTAACTATCCATCTTTCAAATATGATCGATCATGCAACATGAAAACATCGACTATCTTTGTCGGATATATGCAAATTAGCAATACAGTTTGTTTAGACAATAAAATTCTGTTCGTCTCTGTCTAGCATATCAGAAACTTCATTAAAAATATTCACAAATCGCTGTAGTTTGTCTTTACTACAGACTAAAATGATGACGTAATCGTCATCTTTCGTGATTTCGACTATACCTCTCAAGTTACAGACGGGCCAAGAATTAGCGGACAGACTTTTTTGTGATGTACGGATGTCATTTAACATCCAATAAACATTTACGAAATTTTTCGCGGTTACAATACGTCCTCGCCTAGTGGAGTAGGAAATAAAAATACACCAACATTAATGAAGTCTATTTTTAACTGTAACGCATAGTGCGTTACATACCTATTTTGAGGAGTGGGTCATTATTTAGCACTTATATCCTGAGGTGCATAACACCCAGGAATATAGTGTGCAAAGGCAAACTATTATTGATATAAAGAGCTTTGGATGGCTGGTTTGTATGTCATCATCCCGGTTATAACATTTTAATTAACAGTGCACTACAGTAAAATAAAGCATGAGGAATGGATTAGACGATTTTTGGAGGTTACGTGATGTAGTACTTGACTCTCACCCTACCTGCAATACATTATTTTGTACTACTCAAGACTAAATCGGACCATAGTTTATACCTAAAGTGCATTGAGCCCCAGCTTTGCAAAACTTTCGCATTTCACTCGGTATCCCAGTTACCCCTCTTCTTATATCCTATAATAAACAAGCGCCAGCCGACGCGACGCCACGATTGACTAATCGTTAGAAGCCTTATTACAGTCGATGTTCCGGTTTGTAAATATAAATACCTCAAGAGTACTCTACATAATATGAGAACGAACGCGAATGTAAAAATACAAAAATAAATAAGCAACTAGCGGCACTTACATTTAATAAGGGCAACAACCTGGGTGTGCGTCGATTGCATCACGTTCACCCCATTAACCTTTATTATCTTATCACCGGCATGCAGACCTGCTCGTTCCGCTGGACCACCTGGAATCCAAATATAATACAGATCACTCGACATTTCATGTACAATCTCAAAATAATGGCACTTGTCATTAAGTCGATATACTCGTTCCTTCTCAAAAGTACAAATTGAATTTCATAATAAATGCAAAATATTATATCAAACAAAATTTGTTACAAGTAAAATGTCAAATATCACATTTAGTCCAGGCACCATTAATACTCATACATATGCGTGTTTAGATCCTACTGGAATAATGCTCCTTCCCAGGATTCTTCTGACACAAAATCGAGAATAAAATGAATTATACATACAGGCATCTTGTTCAACAAATCGGACTAAGTATTAATATTATTATTGTACGCAATTAACCCCATATAGACAAACCACTGATTTGGAGAATTATTCCGATTTGGGCAAAAAACTGCATAATTTTAAATAATGAATATCAAAAAATAACACACAAGCTGCAAATGCATCTTCAGTGATTACTTATGTGTTATTTGAAATTGATTTTATTTTTCAAATGTAACCAGTTATGGATGTCACGAATAAAGACATAAATCAAATTCACGCGAATAACCTAATGAAAATGGTATAAATTTACCATTTTTTATTGGTATTTACCGATCCGTTCAAGCGAGTGTGGTTATCAGTTTGGTTATAAGATTCGTGACGTCATGAATCAGTTGTTATATGTCATAGTTATCACCGTAAAGTTGTGGTATTTACCCAACTCCGGAGTAGTTTTATATTTCTGGTTATTATTTGAAATTTGACAAGGTAGAATTTTGGCGGGTATTGGACATTTGTTATACTTCAGCTTCATTTTTGGGAAACTTGATACAGGTTGACTTCAGTTGTAGCATAAAGTAGAGCACCTTATTAGTAGTTATACTCATTACTGTTGTTTGGGACACTTTAAATCTAGTTCCTATGCTTAACAAAGTATCCTGTGCAGCCAGATACCATAAGAATATTAAAATATGGCCATATAAACTCACTGGATAATGTCCACCTGTATACGGTTTTTTTTTTTTATTTTTTCATCGCTTTTTCCTATCATTTCTGCTAGATCAATAAATGTTTTCTTTAACATGCGGAAAAGTTTAGAGAATTGAAAGTTATCATAGCTACAAAGCCATGGTTCCATCATTAAAATTTTTTTCTGAAAAAAAAACATTTCTCCCATTAATATTATGAAAGGTTTATTTTTTAAACTTTCCATACACTGTTATAGACGAAAAGGCACCGAATAATAAAAAGAATCAGAAATTATTTACACGCTTTTCTAAAATAAAAAACCTGCAACAAAGGCTGATGAAGTTTTGTTTACGAAATTCAAAGAAATATATATCTACGGAGCGGTTAAAGATATAAGTTAAGATCTTAAACGTTCAGTAAGCACATCGTAAGTAATAAACACACAGATCCCCGGCCCAAACTAATCCAGGGACGTAGAAGCTGGGGTACCTGGCCCCTGATAGGAAATATTTTCTACGCAACTGACCTTTTTGGAGAAAAGAAGTGCATTTTATAGAATACCATTTAGTTTTCCATAAATTTTGTCTCTTAAAGAATTTGGTCGAATCACTTGTTTTGGAAATATTTAGGTTTGAATATTTGAGGTTTATGAAACAAACATGATACTGGAAATACTATATGGCATGTGAAGAAAGCTTTGGTACCTCATTACAACATTAATTGAATAATTTGCGTGTTTTATCCTCCATCAGTAGCGTAGAAGCTTACCATTCATTAAACGTTTCCTGTGCACGCCACTGGTTTTGCTGACAGATTAATTTTAGTTTATAGATAAATGTAACTGCAAAGCCAGGAAAACGGTTATTTTAAAAATAAATCAACAAAGCTAATAAGAATTAAACACGGCAATTACATTTGATACAACTTACGTGGTTATTTCTAAATGTATGATAACATAACATTGGGAACAAAAAATAATACTGAATAACATAACATTGGGAACAAAAAATAATACTGAATAAATGGTATAACATCCAACCTAAAGGAAGTGTTGGAAGTCACCAACTCTGGATTCAACACAAGGCCGTACTCTACGACTCTTTGGAAAATACCTGTATATTTCGTCCTCATACCTTGTGTCCGAGGATGCTAACGATTTGTGATATCTTTGTTGAGCTCACTTAATCCGAAATGCTAAAGAATTTTGAGAAAAAAAGGCGATAATTTCAGAAGTAAAATACTATGAATTTTACGCAATTTGATAGCTTCCACAATTAGTAGTTGTGATTTTAAACAAAATAATCTAACATGGGTAATACCAGGAGAAAACCAGTGCATAGACAAGTTGTAATGAATGGTAAGGCTTCTTCGCTACTTATTGAGGATAACACATGCCATCTGTAAAAAGGGTTTTGACAACATTGTCACATTTGCGAGCTATAAGTTTTCTGAGATTTGTTGGCGAGAAAAAGTTTTTAAAAGATGGAAGTTGACCCAGGAGGATCAACAGACGACCCAGTTCCACATACTATGAGGAAAGAGCTGAGCGGTGGCGGAAACCAAGCAGAAGCAGAAAACATGAGCTCACTGACGCAGATGTCATCGGAGCAGAAAACGATCGAAAAACTGATGCTGATTATAGACGACCAGGCGAGACAGATTCGAGACCTAATGGAGACCATCAAGGACCAGACAGCCAAAATTGACAGCCTTACCGCCCAGGTAACCATATTACTAAACTCAAAAGAATCCCCTAAAGAACGGACAAAGACCCTAAAAAGACCACTGAGAAACGTTACTGATGATCATCTCACAGCCACAGACGAAGACGTACAGACTGAAGGATTTGTAAAAGCAAAATCAAGAAGGAGGAAAGGCGACAAGGCTGATCGATCAACCCAAGACTTTCCTCCTCTTCCGAATACAGGATCAATTCCATTTCACACCTCCCCCAATTCATCAAATCGAAACACTATTAATGCTTCTATTACCAAACCAGGGACCACGTTATCTACCTGTCAGGTGACTACGTCAGCCGATGTTACTTCTCCTCCGTCATCTCGTCCAACCGATTTTCAAGTTTATTTCCCTAGGTATTAAAATAGATCGCGCGGTTGCCGTCGATGCGGGAATAAGGATTATTCCTAAATCCGAGGACGACTACCGTAAGATCGTTCGCCTATTCCGAGAGGAAGAAGTGCCCCATCACACTTTTCCTCTCCCTTCGGAACGGAACATCCATGCGGTGGTTCGAGGAGTTCCCGTCAACTTTTCGGATACTGAGATTAAGGGAGAACTGGAGCAGAGGGGATATAGCCCTCTTCACATCATTCGATTGAAGCGCAGCGGCGGCGCGCCCATGCCTTTGGTGGTCGTGATACTGCCCAAGACTGAAAAGTCTCAGCAAGTGTTCAACGAACACGAACTGCTGGGACTGGCCATTCGAGTTGAGGTTCAGAAGAACTCCAGACTCATTGGGCAGTGTCACCGCTGCCAAAAGTATGGGCATGCGCAGTCATAGTGCACTGCACCGCCCAAATGCTTAAAATGTGCAAAGGGCCACATGACGCATTTGTGCCCCCTCACAGAAGAGGAAGAACGCAAGTGCGCGAACTGTGGAGAGGGACATCCCGCAAATAGCCGGACTTGCAAGTTCACTCCAAGTTATAGCGCAAAGGCTATCATACGCGGACGCAGCTCGGGAGGCAACCTTGCCTGCCCCCTCTGCCCAACCTCCCTTGAACACGCAAAATGTGGACCTGGCAACCGCGCTAAGGTCCTTACAACAAGTAATAAGCCCACTGATTAGCGCTACCCAAGCGTTGCAGGCGATATTTCCTGTAAATGTCTAGGTATAATAGTAGACAGCCTGCATTCATCAAAATTCTTTTTTGGAATTGTTTGGGCATGAGGGATTTTCCCAAAAAACGGAAATTTCATCAAGCTCTTTTGGGTGAAGGTATAGATGTCGCCTTGCTGCAGGAAACGTTGCTTAATCCGGGAGATCGTTTAGCTCTCCCGAATTATGATGTTATCCGAGGTGACAGATTGAATGGTCGAGGCGGCGGTTTAGCAGTGTTGATTAAACGCGGTATAGACTATTATAGAAGCAATAATGCGGAGATGCATAGCATCGAAGCAGCTTCTGTGGTGGTCAATATGGCGGGAGGTGTCTCGTTGAAGATCACATCGGTGTATGTCAGGTGTGGTGCCAGGCTACAAGAGGCAAATCTGGAGGTCCTTTTGGACTACTCGGGTCCGCTTATTGTGGCAGGGGACTTCAATTGCAAACATCGAGCATGGAATTCTAGGTTGAATTCCACTAGTGAGGTTCGATTGTACAATCATGTGATGCGAAATGGGTACCTTATACATAGCACTGAAGAGCCGACACATCATCCATTAAACCATCTTCAGGCACCAGATGTCATCGATTTCGCGATATCTGAAAACTGTAGATACAGTATCTCTTCTCGAATCTTGTATGATATATCTAGTGACCATCTACCTGTTGTCATGGATGTGGGCAATAAGCAAACTTCTAAGAAGGCAACTCCTCCAAGGAAACGCATTGATTGGGACCTATACAAGTTGCTCCTTAGAGAGTTTCCCGATATCCCGATTATAGATGATGGAATAGATGCCGCTCAAGCGGAGTGGACAAGTTTCATTCAAGCAGCTCTACAGCGTGCAGCTGTATTTCCTGCACAACGACACGGCAGACCTTTTTTGCCTGCGGACATTCGTCAGAAAATCTCTGACAAAAGAGCCACTATTAAGCAGGCAAAAAGGTCTTGTCATCCTGATGACATTCGTAGGGCTACAAATCTTGTCCATGAAGTGAGAAACGCACTGCACGAACTCCGCAACGAGCAATGGAGCGACTTTCTGGCGGGAATGCTTGATTCAAGTATTCCTCTCTGGAGGGTCGCAAAGTCACTCAGAAACGGAAAGCGAGAACAACTCGCACACATCCACGGTCCTGAAGGCATAGTCTTCAGAACGGAGGATAAGGTCGAGGTTTTCGCTGATGCCATGGAAAAACAGTTCTCTCCCAACTATGATCTCGATAATGACCTCGACGAGGAACAGCATATCGTACGATCCGTCAGGAGATATTTTAGGGCCAACGGCGTCAGCGGAGGCACTGAATCCTCTTCAGATGGCTCTTCTTCAGAAGATTCGTCTGAGGCTCCACATAGCACATTAGCGGAACCCTCCGAGTTTCCACATTGCACACCAGCGGAGTTACTAAGTCATATTAAAGACCTCAAGGTGCGTAAAGCACCTGGGGAGGATCAAATCACCAACAAGGCGTTGAAGCTGCTCTCGCCGAAAGCCCTGACATACTTGGTGACAATAATCAATGCGACGCTCAAAATCCAGTACTTCCTGCTGGGTGGAAGACTGCTGAGGTCATCATGATTCCAAAGAAGGTGGGTTCGATATTTCCTCAGGATTACCGTCCCATAAGTCTGCTGTCAGCTCCTTCTAAGCTCGCCGAAAAACCCTTAGCATGAGTACTGGCATCTTGCTTTTGGATGTCTCAAAAGCCTTTGACAAGGTGTGGCACGCGGGCTTCCTCTATAAACTAATCCAAAAGGGTTTTCCTTTTTGGCTTCTAAAATTACTGAAATCCTTTCTTGAAGGAAGGAAGTTTCGGATCAAAATTAACAATGTTTTGTCAACAACACGGCCAGTACGGGCCGGTGTTCCTCAGGGTTCGGTCCTAGGACCAATTCTTTATTCGCTTTTCATCCATGATGTCCCTTCCCCCAGCAACTGTGAAGTCTACCTCTATGCTGACGACACTGCACTTGTCGCCCAGTCGTGTACTGGTGATCTGGTTCACGATGGGTTGCAGAATGCGGTGGACGAAGTTCTAGAGTGGGCGGAACGGTGGCTGATAAAAATTAATCATTCGAAAACGCAGGCTATTTATTGTACCAAAAAACGTCGCGGCCCCCCAGCAGAGGTTTCTGTAGACGGAAATCGTGTACCAAGGACAAATTCTGCCAAGTATCTCGGTGCCACTTGATAAAGGCATGACCTGGCAGAAACATACAGCATCCATAATAACAAAATTCCAAATTGCGTTTCGGCAACTATATCCTTTGTTATGTAGATCCTCCAAATTGAGTTTGATAAACAAAGTTCGACTATATAAAATGATTATTAGACCAGCCATTACTTATGCATGTGCGGCTTGGTGTTTTCTTGCCAAGACACACATGCAAAGTCTTCAAGTACTGCAAAGCAGAACTTTGTGGACAATTTGCAACGCTCCATGGTATGTCTCAAATGAGACACTACACAGAGACCTTGACATTCCTTACTTGAGGGACTATGTCAAGCTTCAGGCGCAGCGATGTTATAGTCAAGCGGAATCGCACAGCAACCCTCTGTTGCGTGACTCAGTGGACTACACAGTGGAGCAAGTTCGTAAACATTCAAGGCCACGGCTCGCACTGTAATCAAAAGTTAGTGTGAAACTTTAGTAAACTCAAAATTACACTCTAACAAAACCGAATCAAAAATTTGTTTAGTTCACCTCAAAATTAATCCGTGTACCAAGTCAAAAAGCCTAGGTGTTTCCTCTTAAACTAAGCATATCTGTTTTTCCTTGCTCTTCTCCTTTTTTCTTCTCTTTTCCTTTCTCTTTTTCCTTGACTTTGTCTGGTTTCTGGGCAACCAGGACTGACAGATTCGACTAACGTACATCAGACAGTGACTAATGGGCAAAGGTCCTACGGACCGCCCAGACAAATAAATGACGAATAGTAGTAACACATGCCATATTGTATTTCCAATATAATGCTTGACGGTGTTTTCAGAATAGGGGAGACTAAACCTTTTCATAAGGATATTTTAGGATTTTACCTCAAATATTAAAACATAAATATCTCCAAAACGAGTGATCTGACAAAAATTTCTTGAGAGACAAAAATTATAGAAAATCGAATGGAATTTTATAGAATGCACTTCCTTTCTCCGAAAAGGCTAGTGGAGCAGAAAATATTTTCTACTAGTGGTCCAGGTACCCCAGTTTCTACGTCCCTGGTTGAGTTTAGGCTCCGAAACTTGTGTGTTTATTGCTGAACGTCTGCAATCCTACTCAATATCTTTACCCGCTCCGTAGATATAATTCTTTTTAAATTAGGTAAATGAAACTTTATCACCCTGCATCTCTTTTTTTGTTATTTTTTGATGTACTTTCTACCCTAGAAATATTGGCACATTTTTCTGAAATACCCTGTATATCTTTATGGTGCTTAAACTGTTAGGTAATAAGAGTTTAACACGGTTCATGCCGTTTAGATAAGCCTTCTCCTAAACAATAACTTATTTTTTCAAATGGAGCGAATTCTGAACTATCATGCGGTTGTATTTCTGACCCATCGCACATACATATTTGTGAACAGCAATTTATATAAACCGCATGGTGCATCTCAATCTTTCCCAGACTGCCAAATAAAACAGTTATAACAATCATTTATGTCGAGGGATATAAACCCTAATTATACTAGGGATATACAAAATTGTATGATATGACTAGCTATAGGGTTTAAAATATCCAAATTATCTGTAATATATCACCGAATGCCGGTAGTAGCAGCCATTGCCTAGCAGCAAATAAATATGGACAGTCTCATTGTCGATGATCATGAGCAATTTAAAGACAGAAAACCTATTCATAAAGTACAATTCACCACACGGTCGTAGATTAATGAATGATAAATTAATTTGACTATTTATAAACAACTTTATAGTTTGAAAAAGTTCATCGAGGTAGACATCAGTAGCCTAATTTTCTTGTTTCTTGTTTTATTGAGACGCATCAGCAGTACAAACACATACTAAGTTTCAGGAATTACACAAAACCGCATGTTGCATCGAAGATTCGTACCTTCTTGACTGTGCTATTGGATTTGGCATATTTCCTTTTTCAACCCACTGTTTAGACTGAGCTTTTTCCGGCGGACAGCTGAGAGAGACCCACGTCCCATCTACGGTAACAGTATGTATATAACAATATTTGTTTTTTTTCTGATATTACGTATATATAAGTTTTTTACATAATGCTGCTGCCGAACAAGTTGTTTCCTAAAACTTGTGCTCAGTCCAATTCAGGGCAAGTTTTCGTGTCTTCTTTAGTTTGTTACTGACACAGCATGTGATTTCATTGTAAATACTTGCTTTGACATATACAATTTGGAATAAAATTGCAGTTTATCGGTGCGGTAGTTGTTTTTGTACAGGAATTTGAGCCATTAGGCTTATGATTTGCAACTTGTAGTTAATGTCCTGTATTGAAGCTGTCCTGGGATGCTCCCAACAAGTTTTTGGTAACAATGATAGATCACCCTGTATAATGAACTGATTCGGAAGAGTAATGACAGGCTGACATTTGGATGTTAACTTATAACGCAGTACGAATAAGTAAATCCATTACTCACCTTCCTTAACGCTATTCACGAACACGGGATTATCCCCAGACACTTTCATGCCGTACCCCTGCTCATCCTTATTGACGACCACCTGCACGATGTGAGCGGAGACTGGGGGCGGCTGCGATGACGGGTCACCGCCCCCTACCCCTCCAGGCCCACCAGAGCCTCCCATTGGCTGCGGCGATAGGGAGGAGGGGCGACTCCCGGCGGCGGAGGAGAGGCGACGCGGTACCGAACCGCCCCCGGCCATTCTGGACGGAGAACCGGTGGGCGTGGTGGAGGATGGCAACGGACTCGCGATCGGAGACTGGGCGGGGCTGAAACAGAAACAGTAACCGTTAATATAAGTGTAAAAATGATGGAAAGACTGGGTGTAATGAGTTGACGCGGACTCTTTGAAAATTTGAGGTTTTATACAAACATCTTGACACCTGATAACTAAACAAATGGAGTCAGGTCAACACTTAGTGAGTTTCGAAATGAGGTATCACACGACCCCCCATTCCATTTAAAATGTTATATAATGGGGCCGAGCGGCCGTCTTTATATTTTCAACTGCCACTTCAGCTTGCTAATTTGACCCGTTCAAAAAACTAGTACGGGGGGCCTTTTTAAAAAGCACTTGTGTGGTTTCATTTTGCCCAAAGAAGCGGCTGACAAGCCCGGCAAGTTTTTCCTTGGTTACGTTTTCCCCTGACAAGGCCATGACACATGCTGTTGAAAAGTGTAAGCAACAACTTCCAGAAGTCTTAATGTAACTCCTGAAACTTATCCTGTGGTTCTCATGTTGATAGGACATTGTCTGGCTGAATTAAACAACATACGTTTTAATTTCTGTTAATTAAGAATTGCCGTTCTACTTGAAAAAGATAACCGTGGTATCCACCGGAACCCTCAAAAATAGCATAATCCATCATTCAAATTCATCCAGACCGATGCGTCTGTGAAAAATTGGACCTCTTGTACCTTTAATACAAACAAAATAATCATAATTTTGTATTTAGGTGAAAATATATATACCGGTATAACAATATATGAATACCCTTTGTATTCTCCATATACATCATAACATATATTCATGAAGAGACACTAAAAATGTGTATACCTAATCGCATGAGAATCCCATTTTTAGTGGATCCTGAAAAGTGTGTCCCCCTTACCTGATGCAATTCAAATAGCATATTTTCATGTAGATGTGAGAATTTCGCGATCGATGCGTAGAAAATCAAGAAATGATAGATTGAAAATCGCGCTTTGACCTACTGAAACCAGGAGCGCGTCAGTTGCTGACGTAGTGTCGGCTGATATCACTGGTGAACAAAAATAAAATAATTTTTTGTGACATGGACAAAACAAGGTGGTTATCATGTAAAACATACCCAAAAAGCCGGAAATAGCATTCGATTTTTTAGATCACCCACGGTTTTCTTGCAATAAGGCATTTTATTTGCTGCTTTTACTCGTAAAATATATAAGGATATGTGTGTAAGAGTACTAATAAACACTTGAATAAACATTAATCTCAGAATGTTGTTGTCGATGTTTTACACCGATATATTGCTCCTGAAGTATCTGTCAACAATGTCCAGCAAGCAAATTGACACTCCATTCGCCTTGATACTGTTTTTCCATAGCAGAAATGTCTTGGTGGACCCGTTCACCATGTTCATCACTTACCTCACCTAAATTTTCCGGAAAAAAATCGAGATGAGAATCCAAAAACTGAATTTTTAGAGACATGTTACATCCCATTTCTTATAAGCATTAATTAGTTCACTCACAATATCTTTATAATTGTTCGCCTTCACATTGCCTAAAAAATTTCTAGTAACTGATTTAAAAGCTTTCCAAGCTCGTAATTCAGTTTCATTTAGAGCACAGTCAAATACATCAACCTTCATGATTTTCCGTATTTGTGGACCCACAAATATGCCCTCTTTAATTTTTGCCTCACTAAACCTAGGAAATGTTTGTTTTAAATGCAAACACCCTCTTCCATTTCAATCCATAGCTTTCACTAAAATTTTCATCAGTTCCAACTTAGGCTGGGCGCATACATTCGCTTTCCGCGTTCGGTTTCCGAATTCGTTTTCCGTATTCGGGGACCCGAATGCATCAAACGCTAATAAAATACATTGACTGCCGCACACGTTCGTTTTTTCCGAACGGAACTCATTCCGTACGTACGTTTCGGATGCATTCGTAAAAACGGAACGGATAAAACCTAATGACGTCACGCGGAACGCAGCACTGGCATACATTTGTAATGTACCGCCGCACACAGTCGGAAATTTCCATCCAGAACCGCGCAGTGACGTGCGTATTGGAAATCACGTCGTTGCATCAAGAGCTCGAATGCATCAGGACAATGCGTGAAGCAGAAGAACTAACATTGGCTGTTGAAAAGCACTCATGCTTGTGGGATATCCATGACAAGGACTACCACAATAGACGTGTCAAAGATTTGGCGTGGGAGCAAATTTTCAAAGTGGTTATACAGGATTGGAACTCGCGCACAAAAGTGGAAAAAAAAACAAGAGTAAAATTACGTTTCTTTCACTTTTAGTAAAAAGACTTTTATTGTTGTAAATTGGCAATCCTTTCATTTTATAGGTATGAATTTCTCCTGCCGGCGTGATGAAGTACTGAGCAAACTCGTCTCTCATGCTTCAGCCTCGGTTTGTAGATCTATGTTGTGTATCCACGTATCTTGCTTCCTTAATTTATCACGTATGCCATTATGAAGTTCATCGAAAGAAAATATTGGCACCCTGTAGAAATCAAAAAATTTATCTGGATGTGCTCCTAACTTTGCCCTTTTTAGATAAAATGGACTCTCGTAGATTCTCCGACTGTTTAACGGATGTACCCAATACCGACGTTTCTTTTTCTTCTTTTTTGATAATGATAATAGAAGTGCAGCTAGGCTCACGGAATTCCGAATTGGAATTCCTGTTTAGAAAACCGTATACGGAAAACGAATGTATGCGCCCAGCCTTAAAATCCAAAGGTGGAAGCAACACGTTTTGGGATCAACTATGTTTTGGGATCAACTAGTGGTTCATGAGCAACGTTTTTGCGGCTTGGAGTTAATACCTGACGTAGTGGCCACTCCTTCTGTTCATAATGATGATTTTGCGCACGACTGTACCATTCACAAAGAAAACAACAGTATGTGGTATATCCCAGTTGCATTCCAAGAAGAAGGGCTATTACCTTTAAATCTGCACATATGGCCCATCCATATTCATTATAACGGATATGCTCTAACAGAACTCGCATATTTTCATATGATTCCTTCATATGAACTGCGTGCGCTATAGGAACCGATGGATATTTATGATCGTTGTGTATCAATACCGCATTTAAACTAAGCTTAGAGGAATCAATGAACAGGCGCCAATCATTTGGAACATGTTTCTGTCCTAACGCATCAAACAAATTGTTAACATCTGATCAATATATTGACTCCCTTTCTTGATGGAAACAGTGTGTGAGGTCTTGTTGCCGTTTTCGGTAAAAAGTAATGTTAACATCACCGTGGAGAAGATGCCACCTTTTAATCTTGAAAGTTCTGACTGGGATTTTGACAGATTCAATTCTTGAACTAAGTAAGGCATTAAGTTCGCCCTGTGTGATCAAATGCGGCACTGTTGAACATCCTGGCAGGTCAACCTAAATATCGGAAATGTTCACGCTTTCTGTATCATCACTTTCAGAATCGGTGGATTCGACTTTTTCATCCAAAGACCAAGATTCTGGGTGGAACTGGGAGAGAAAGTTCATCACTATGCTTAACGAGCCGCAAAGCTGATGGTAAATTAAAATACTTAACAGTATGTTTCGATTTTCGTACAATACCTTTAATATTTGTGATGCAAAACTAGCAATCAGTAGTATGGTCTCTCGGTTCTCTCCAAACCATTGGTACCGCAAAGGGCATTTTACGATTGTCGCCTCTTAACCAACCTGTTAACAACATTACACAAGTCTTACAACATATATCAGGGGCCCACAGTTTATCTTGGTCGCCAACTTTAATTCCAAAATAAAGTTCGTATGCTTTCAACACAAGGAGAGTAAAAGTACGTTTTTGGGATTTAAACGTTAGCTCTCCGCACACATAATAAAAACTGTTCGCACTATTTACACAATTTTTAGGCATTGTCCATGATCCTCGATCACAATAAACAACACACAACACACCGTTTTAACAAAAATTAACAGTACTCAGAACATCTCAGTACTCTTCAACACAGAAAACGTAACTGACTCGGCTGCTATTAGTCTACTAATAAACGCAATATGCTCTCTAAACATAGAGCTCGCATATAATAAACACGAATAGACAGGTCTTAACATTATATATGTGCCTCATCGCATAAACGCCAAGAAATGCATCAATATGAGATGTTACGTATTGTAATTCATAAAAGTAGATGTTACCGAATGTCTGTGGGTGATCGAAAAATTCTGTTTTTAGGTTTGATTTAAGGGTCTCAAAATACATAAGATACACCCAAAAATTGTCATGTCACAAATCCTGTGTTTATCAGTGAATCCTTTGGTTAACGGTTTGAGTACTAACTCTGGTAAGTATATCTTTGTGAATGACAATGGTACATTACTGCACTATATAAAAAACGGCGATTCTTGAATACATAAGTCGTGAATCGCATACAATATTAATGTATCTAATTTTTTTTCGAGGTCATGTATCATGTTTATTATATCACATTTAAAATATATTTTTCACTATTTAAATGTCTCCCCCTTGGTACCTATAAAGGCTGTCAAAGTCAAAATATTATCTGACCCTGTCAAATATGTATTACATATCATATTGCCTTGTGACATAATGAATATGAAAACAAAATAAGCGAGTTTTCTTAGTTGGTACTTGAAACCTAAATATCGTATATTCACCCTCTTGTACTTTTTTCAACTTCCTGATCACTTAGGAGCATATCCAAAACATTTATTTTGTAATACTTCTTCTTCATGCCCTAACCAAAATCTACAAAAAGGGACAGTACCATTCATTGTGAAAATCCCCCAGAACAGCCTCTGGGGGAAACTGAATATATGGGAAGTACAGGCTCAATCTACTTAACCAACTGCATCAACGATGCTTGTAGAAACGCCGTCATCAGTTCATAGATGATTAAGTTCAGCACAATTTAAGTCCTCTGTGAAAAAAACCAGTTACGAACATGTACAACAAAGAAATTAAACGGATTGGGTCAAACAGGACCATACAATTAATTCATAGATTCTCTGCTCTACCAGCAGTTACTGTCCATATGGCAATGTTGTCCTGTTGCATATCTGCGCGGTATCGCTGCAGCGTGCTATTCTTTATTTCGTGCATGGTCCGTGTGTTTTTTGCGCTGCATATATACCGGACTGGTTCGCCGGGCGATGAGCTTAGATAGCTGGAGTACGCGGATCGAAAACATTTCTTTATCATAAGATTTAAAGACAACAACGGAGAAATATGTGGTGTATGAAATATGGTTAATAGGTGCATAGAATTACCAGGGTTGGGAGAGTATAAATATACTGAGATCAAAAAAATCACCAAAATTCGAATCGTACTTCTCAAGTTACAGAAGGAAGTATCGAACAAACAGACGGGCAGACAGACGGACGAAATGAAAGACATGTTTTTTCGTGATGTACACGTCATATAACATACAAAAAACACAATATCTCATTTTTTGCGATTACCATACTTTCTCGCCCAATAGCTTAGGAAGCAAAAAGAAAAACAAAAGCATGACATCTGATATGTTCACAAAGGTGTATCATGAAAATGTATATGCTTCCCACCTCAACTTGTGAAAGCAACTACCTAATAACCATTTTATAGAGATAGCATCTAAGCAGGAAGAAATAAACACGCCATAATCCAATTTTTATTCATGTATTGCTTATACAAATGTTTGCCTAGCACCTACAATTGTGGTACAAAGATAAATTGATAATCACTGCAAGATACAATAAATGTTAATGACAATATTCCACTCATATTTCAGGCTGATTAGGTCAATGAAACCCCAATATTAAACAAACAACATTAGTTTTGTATTTCATCACCATGATTTGGAGTCACACATAGAGCTCACGGAAGTTTACTCAATTTTGCATAAAAGTAAATCTACACTGAACAAATAAATAAAGATGGAAAACTAGACAGAAATTCAATCACATTTTTAAATAGTTTGCTTTATTATCGGTTTATTGTTAAAATTTTGTATTGACAATCTTATCTGGTGAGGCGGGGTATGTGGTACTCCAGCAGAGTCAATAGCTCAAAGTAATTCCGCCATTTACCACTAGATATATTTAAGTGATTATGTACCTTTGATTTAGTGTCATAAGCTATTGTTCAGGAATAAAGCGGTCTAACATGTAAGAGATCGGTTTTATCAATAGCTTTTTCCCTGCTAAGGGTCACCCTGACCCCACCTCGCCAATAATCTTAGTTTTTTTCACGGATTTAAATGGTTTTCTTTGAATTCCATTGTGAGAGGAAGAAACCATTGATTAACGTGTTCTACCTAATGCTATACAATTTGCGCGCCCCAAAAATTAGCCGAGATGAAATAAGATACCGTAGCGCCATCTTTGAGAATTTGCCACAGCTATCTTTCTCATGTCCTCAATAATTAGGAATTTCTTTAATATACTAAGCGACATATTATAAATCCGAACACCCAGTTTAAATGGTTTTATTTTAATAAAAGTTGGTGAATGTATTTATCTTACTGTAAATAACAAGTGAAAAAAATTTCAGCCTTATCAGTTGGACATTCCGGTTTTTATACTGCTTTTTTTTAATTCACTAACGCTCTAAAAATGAATATTTCAGCCGTAGTAAAGAATCAACGTTGGCGGATTTTGGTTCTTGATATCCTTTACGATCGGTTACGATGCCTAGAGTACGGAGACCTGTACGATTTCGTCAACTTAGTGAGTTTGATAGGGGCCGTATAGTGGGACTTCGGGAAGCTGGACTTTCTTTTCGGACAATTGCAGTTAGAGTGCAAAGAAGTGTAGACACTGTGGTTAGGTGATGTCAGGCATGGCTTCAAGAAGGCCGTACGCAAAGAGCAAGGGGCACTGGCCGCCGCCGTAGAACAACAGACCGTGAAGATCGCCGCCTAAGATTATTGGCCTTAAGGGACCGTTTCTCCACTACCAGGTCCATTGCAAATGAATGGTTTGCAGAACACGCAAGACCTATTGGCATGCGAAGTGTTTACGACGAATGAGAAGTTTTGGCTTGTTTTCATACCGGCCCCACTGGGTCCTCCCTTTAACTCGAGAACACCGACGTAATCGCCTTGAGTGGTGCAGACAACGGTCACTCTGGAATCAGGAATGGAACGATGGTCGTGCCAGGGTTAGAAGGCGACGTGGTGAAAGGAGGAATCCACAGTTTTTTGTTGAAAGACATGTTCATCACACTGTTGGAGTTATGGTTTGGGGTGCTATAGCTTATGGTACCAGGTCACCTTTAATCTTCATCAGAGGTAACATGAACGCGCAGCGTTATATCTACGAAGTTCTGGAACCCCATCTTTTACCCTATCTTGACACCCTGGCAGATCCAACTTTCCAACAAGATAATGCCCGACCACATGTTGCAAGAGTCACAATAGACTTCTTTCAACATAATGATGTCACATTGTTACCATGGCCACCAAGATCTTCCGACTTATCCCCAATTGAGCACGTGTGGGATATGATGGGTAGGAGATTGCTCAATGTGCAACGTCCTCCTCAGACTCTAGAAGCACTTCGAGAGAAGTTGGTGGTTGCCTGGAATGAGATACCACAGGAGGACATTGACCACCTGATCAGAAGCATGCCTAGGCGCGTTGGAGAATGCGTAGCACATCAGGGTGCATCCACACATTATTAAAGGTCAAAGGGCTTTAAAGCAGTGCAATCATTTTGAAATTTGTATCATTTACTTATTATGCTTCATTAAGTACTTATACAAAATTTTATTAAAATAAAACCATTTAAACTGGGTGTTCGGATTCATATGTCACTTAGTATAAGATACTTAGTCGATCGCGCTGAAACCAGCTATACAGGGTGGCCCATCCATGTGGACGGAATATGACACATAAAAAAATACATTTTGGGAAAATCTATTTATGGCATGTCAATCTGAGGGCACATTTCTAAAATATTGGCAATTATACAGGGTATCCCAATTTTGACCTACATATCACAGTTGTGATTTTTTTAAATGGAATGCCTCAAATTTCATTGCATATTTGGATAAACCAATTCAAAAGAAGAAGATTGATATAACATACTATGAGGTTTTGGTAAGGTGTTTTGTCCAGAAAAACCGTCCACTTCGGCAACCCATCAATCCGCCAGTTTGAAATTTGGAGTGCTGAATTTTCTATCAAAAAAGACACACACCTCAGCTATTATCTTATTTGTTACTTTTTCGAATTTTCATTTTTGCTCATACAGGGTGGTCAAAAACGCGAATTGTACTTTTTCTGAAAATTTCAAATGGATCACCCTGTATATTTGTGCAAGTTTGGATCCAAGTTTTTATAAGCTTTAATATTTTAGAAATGTGCCATCAAATGTCATGTCTAACATCCCATAAATAGATTTTCCCAAAATGTATTTGTTTATGAGTACCTAATATTCCGTCCACACATGGATGGGCCACCCTATATATGAGTATATAGATACAGCGCCATCTATAAGAGCCCAACCTTTTCAAAGTAGATTTCTAATTAAAGTGGCGGGGGTAGAACTTGTGTTCGAGGGTGCATGGGTTATGAGAGGGTTAGACCAAAATCATGGCGGTGGTATGTCCGATTTTCATGATTATTGACGGTGTGACGAGATAGAGGATTCACTCGGCAACCAGCATCCAGGCGGTTCACATTGGTTTATCCGTCGCAGCTTCCTAATTAAGGAAATTCCTGATAATATTATTAATCCGCGCAAATTAACGGTTTCCAACACATTCTAGTTTTAACTTTAATATTGAAAAAAATACATAATTTTTTATTTTCAACTTGTAAAGTGAAAACCCTAGAAGTTTTACGGATATTCTTAGACTTCTTGAAATGGTGATTCTTAAAAAATAGTGCAGAAAACGTTGTTTACCCGTTAAAGAACTTGAATATAGCATAACCGCACCTTTCTGAAGAAAGTAAGTCATAATATAATGTAATACTTTCATGTATTTTTCAGCATTTTTGAGGCGCACGTCGATTTAAACAATATTAGAGGAAAGTTGATAAAAAATAAAGATGGATCTGTCTATGAAACTCGCGAAAGGTTTATTTTCCAGTTTCTTTCCAAATATTCTATGACCCATCACAAAATACAGTGCTTTTCAGGTAGGTCCCCTTACTTATTTTTTGAACGGGTCAAGTTAGCAATCCACAATGCGGGGGGTGGTGAATATTTCAACATAAGAATAACGATTGAGAATTTCAAAATACGGGCTAGGCGCCATCCTGGAACATTTTTTAACCCTTTAACTGTTGGTGGTCCCATTGAGGACCACCTCTGTTAGGTATCAATTTCGCGTAACCGGTGCGCTAAAAATGAGCCTTGCTGACAGAACGATATGTGTGGATTAGTCGGTGGTATTTTAGAGGACCACTACTGGTGGCTGAACACGTGATCAGCGCGCGCAACTATTATGTGGTCCCTTATCGGACCACCTTGCATAACGAGCAAGCATAAAAACTGTTTTCGCGCGAAGTGTTACATTGTGTTATTTTTTTCTGACTTACTGGTGATCACGATAAAAAATATTATAAGAATTGTCATCTGCACTGTTGTAAAGGTGAATAAATTAATGTTCGAGTAAAAAGTATCAGATAAATCAATAACTTTTGTCATATAAAGGTAAGTACCACACTTCTAACCTCAAAAAGATAAATTTTGAATTTTAATTTTACATCTATATGCGACATCTTCGTTTATAGTTACATGCGTATGTTATTCAATATATGCTACTGATACTCAATACAAAGAGTGATTTTGAAATTTTATTCGGCTTACGAGTTATCGGAATTTGAATCTGGCACTTTTCTTTCAGAATATGAATTCGAAAACTAAATGGACGTTTCAAGAGCTTCAGAAAGCGACACAGGAGGAGCTTCTACAGATAGTAGCAGATTGTGAGGCAATATCCGACGCTCAGGCTATAAATTCCGATCTTGAAGGAGAAAGTGATGCCGACGACAATCTTCCATTGACAAAACAGTTTATTCCCAAGTCAAAACCTACCACCAGGGCAAAGTCAGGCATCATTGTTTCAAGAAGTGTATCAGCCAATACTTCTACCACTTCCGGTAACGTTTATCAAGATGATTCAGATGATTCTGTAAAAGATCCCGATTATGAATATTCTGGATCAGACAGTGGATCTGAGATGACTAATGCTTGTAACAGTGGGATGAATGAATGTCAAGGAGCCTTAGACATCTCAACAAAGGACGTTGAAAATGATGAAGATGAACCAGAAGAGACAGGTGCTGATGGGGATGATGTCGAGTTTATTTGGACGAAAATTGGACGCCAACCAAAGACCTATAAAGATTTCAACTATAATCAACCACAAGGTGTCAAGGATATAGTTGGATTGACAAATGGAACCATCGATTCACCTGTGCAGTATTTTCACGCAATATTCTCGGACGTAGTATATGATATGATTATTACCGAGTCTAACAGGTACGCAGAGCAAAAAGGAGTTGGTTTGAATTTACAACGGGATGAGTTGCAAGCGTTTTTTGGTATGCTACTGATAATGGGCTTCCATACCCTGCCAAGCCTAACATTGTACTGGTCAACAGATCAAAACTTCCATGTAAGCCGCATAAGTAACGTAATGTCACAAAAGAGGTTTCTACATATTCTTCGCTACCTTCACCTAAACGACAATGAAGTTATGCCACAGCGAGGACAAGAGAACTTTGATAAGCTATATAAAATACGTCCACTTGTTGATATTTTGAACGAACGATTTTCAACCCTTTACGCTCCCTACAGGGAACTCTCCATTGATGAAAGCATGGTTGGTTTCAAGGGTCGTACTACGTTGAAACAGTATATGCCCATGAAACCAGTGAAAAGGGGATTTAAAGTTTGGGTGATTGCTTGTTCTCGAACCGGTTACAACTTGGGTTTCAAGATATATGAAGGCAAAGAGCAAACTGATTCGGCAGGTATAAGCCTGGGAGAAAGAACCGTTCTTACAATGTCTGATAAATATAATGGTGAGGGGCGCTGTCTCTACTTTGACAACTTTTTCAATAGTTTTCCATTGCTCAAAATGCTTCTTGTAAAAAATACATTTGCATGTGGCACACTAAGGAAAAATAAAAAGTTTTTCCCAAAAAGTAAAATGAGGAACGATAAATCCCTGAAACGTGGAGAATCTGACTATTGCATGGCCGGTGATATTTCTGTATACAAATGGAAGGATCGAGGTACCAAACCAGTCCTACTTGCTAGCAATTTTCACGATCCAAGGTAAGAAACAACTGTTCTTAGAACGAATGCCCAAGGGAATCGCGAGGAAGTTATTTGTCCAAGTGCGGTATCAGATTATAATAAATATATGCTGGGTGTGGACAAGTTTGATCAGCTCATGTCTCCACATAATGTCTCTTGGAAAAGCAGGCGATGGTGGATGAAACTTTTTTACTTTGTTTTTGATGCCTCAGTTGTAAATAGCTACATTCTCTACTCAGAAACGAAAAAACAGACTAAAGAGAAACCAATATCTCAACTACAGTATAGGAGTATTTTATCTAATCAGCTGATCGGTTCATTCAGTGGCCGGAAATCAATGGGGCCTATACCACAAATAAACAAAAATAAAATCAACAAAATCAATGGCCGTAAGATAACCGTTGAAAATACACAGCGAATGACAAACGTGGGTCAACATTTGCCAGTCCCTGGTACAAAACGACGATGTGGGTATTGTAGTACTAAGAAAAATGTCAAGAGGACAAAAATTCAGTGCAAAGAGTGCAATGATGGACTTTGCTTACAATGTTTTGAACAGTTTCATGTAAAAAAATAAAAGTTGTTTTATTGAAAGCTATCAAACGCATTTGACTTAAACCCACCCTAAATGTGTGGTGGTCACTATAAGGACCACCACCTGGACGCCATTTTGGAAACTGTAATCAACAAAATGTCATATAAACAGTAGTTTTTGTCCCTGCTCACAAAAACTCAGGTGTTTATTACTCTTGTTGATGAAGATTGAAGTCTTGCACTATAAAGGGTTAAAAGGAATTGCAGGGCCGATGTCAACAGGGCAAGCCGCTGCTGCGACCGTGGTCTCGTCACTCGGGTTGCTGGGAAGGTGATGCTTCTCTCTCTTTCTAACATACGTAATTGCATGCTTCTCGCGCAGCCGTATATGGATTTCTCTGTATACGCCACTGTATTGTGGAGAGAAGAAACATAGTTATGACAAATTCTCGTAGATGAAAAAACCGAGTCTGTGTTTATTAGAGTTGCAAAACTCCGATATGAAGCACATTTGAGCAAAACATATGGGAAAATGTTCATCTGTTTGGCTTTTGTTTCAAATAGAGAGAAGTATTTATATTTAGTTTATTTTATGCCGACAAAAAACAGTTCTGGTTTATAAATAACTAAAACTTACATGTTTTTTTGTTACTTTTCCATATTTTAATGGGCCGCCTAATCGAACCTATTTCCAAATGTATACAGTGAAATCGGCGGGTCTATCTGTACAAGATTCTTTAGAAAAGGAGTAAACAGAAGAATTTTGGTAATGTTCTAAGTCTGAAGTACTTCAATTACAGCAAAAGTAAGGTGCAGTCCATAAAACCCCACCTGTGCCCCTATTCTTGACTTTAGCACAAAATCACACTCCCTCTCTTTTTCTACTCCCCCGGTTTTCTATCGATTCGAAAATACTGCATTCTTGAAAGGACTGGATAGAAAGGAGAAAGGAAATCGAGACACAGGGTTGCCAGGTTTGAGTAAACGTATTAAACCAATCAAAATGGAGATAATTTTGACAGTCACTAACCAAAGATTTTGTTCAAGATTTCCTCCTTATAATTTGATCTATGGAGCCGAAAACTTTAAAAAAGTACATTAAAAATGAACAAAAGGACAAAATGATTGAATTTCTCCGAGAGCACCCCCAAATGCACCAGGAAAAATTCAATCATAGATTAAAGGATACTGTTTTAGAATGACCAAAACTTAATATGCACTCTTGCCTTTGTTTTGATCGAAATTGCAGAAGCTCCTGGAGGTGGTTGTATGATGTATGTACACCAAATCTTTGGATACCCTAAACATCTGTACAAATTTTCGAAAGGATTTATGAAAGGATCTCGGTGCCCAAGAATATCTCTCCCAATCTCCCATTCCTCAACTGCCTCCTCTACATCCTCGTTAATAATATCATTTCAATACATCAATTGATTGAAATTAACCATTTTTTGCAATATGTTTAGCAGGGATGACAAAAGCAATACCAAAAACGTCAATTTTTAAGTTATATAGCGCTATTTTCTACTAATTTTTCCAGTTTGTCTTGGTCAGCACCAAGAGAAATCGCGACTTCCTAGAGTGAATTCATTTCTATCACTTTCCGGTAGAATTTATTTCAAGAATACTGCATTTCTTGGCCTCGCCCACTTTTTGCCACTTTCTCTCAGAATTTCTACTTCTTCAAACTCAAGAATTATTAACAGCAAAAAAAACTGACTTCACCAGTTATGGGTTAATAGCATTTCGATAAGAATAATGATACATTTTATTAGGGTCCAACAGGCATTCAGCAACACCATAACAAAATAATTTTTTGAATCAACTGCTAACAGGTTATTTTATCAGACAGAAAAGTCTCTTGAATCTTTGTAATAAATTGAAAATATTATTTGCCTTTAATCAAGGGTCAATTATAGGGAAATAGCTCAAGTTCTACGCCTATTAGCGAGGAAAAAACATGTCACTCATTTCCGTTGGTCTGTCGGTTTGTCCGATAATCCTTGGACCGCCTATATCTTGGAAAGTGCTACTCGGATTTGAATGAAATTTTCACAAGTTACTGCGAAGGACGGAAAAGCTTTTTTAAAATCGGTAGGTTGGTCCCGGAACTAAAGAAAAAAACACGGAAAAAATCGCTCAATGACGTTTCAGAATCATTTTCAGAAAATTTTCCTATTGTTTGAAAATCGGGGGTTTGAGATTGTAGGGGGTGGAGGAAGGTATATCTCATTATTGTTGGCGGCAGTATATTTATACGCTTCCAATATCAAGAATTTCCTCGTACATTTGCCGTTATAACAGAAATATAGACGAGACACGCGGTTGATCGGGATGATGCATTGCAAAAGTGACTTCCCTACGCCCAACTCTGCTTTAGCTCTAACAGCATCGACGGCAGGGATGTTATAGCATCGTTGCTGGCGCTTATGACATGTGTCGCTGGTGTGGTCCAGCAGTGGGGCCAGACGGTCGATACTTAAGGCAGGGAAGGGAACTAGCAGCAGCATTATCAAATGGATGAGGACTATGTTTGTTATGCATGTTTGTAGCTATCTCAAAGGGACTAACATGGTCTGAACATAATCATTTATGAACTGAAGACAGCATTTCATGGGAAGGGCATGGTCAACCAAGTTGACGCCATTTTTTTATCATTGCTTGGTATTGGCCACTGATTTCACTTAGGAGAAAGAGCATTGAATCGAATGGTAACTGTGATGATCGATTCAGTTTTAAATCTATTGATAAGACTAATTTAACACTGATTTTCCAATCTTTCAAATAGAATGCCTTAGGAAGCAATGACATGTCACCGAGAATGCTTAAACCTGCTATCCTACAATTTTAGATCATAGATAACAATCATAATTGATTTTTCCTGAATCATTGTAAACAAAGCATTGGTACTTCCTCTCATGAAAACAAGCCAGTTTCATATTCCCATCAATAAGTATTTACCAGTTTTATTCAAATTACTAGAAAAAATAGCGAGTATGGGTCAAAATCTGAGATATTGACTTGAGAAGGATATAGAGGAGTAATGCCACATATAAATACAGGGTGCGGCAGAGAGGACGGACGTTTTTGGGATAGGTAGTACTCTCCGCCTCCGTCTACGAGAGAGGTGGAGAGGGTGCCGTTTGACTAGTGAGATCCTAGCATTATTTTACCAGTTGTCGTTATGGAGCCTTGGACGGTGGAGCACCGCGTTTTCGCCTATGAGTGACGAAGCCTACTTTTACCTAAACAGCATGGTTAACCAGCAGAATTGTCGTTATTGGGCTAATGAAAATCAGCAACAGTTACACGAAAGACCGCTGCACAGCCCAAAAGTAACGGTTTGGTGCGCTGTATCGCAAACTTGCATCATTGGCCCTTACTTCTTCGAAGACGATAATGGTCGTGATGTTACCGTGAACTCAGAGCGCTACGTCGACATGATCACCAACTTCTTTCTCCCTGAATTACGACGGCGACGTGTTCCAAACCGACGTGTGTGGTTCCAGCAGGATGGGGCGACCGCCCACACAGCCCGAGCATCCATTGATGTTATTCGCCCTCTCTTCCCTGGTCGCCTTATTTCCAGGTTTGGCGATGTTCATTGGCCTCTTCGGTCCCCAGATTTATCCATATGCGATTTTTTATTTTGGGGACACCTCAAGGCTAGAGTATACGCGAACAAGCCCCGAACTCTGGACGAATTGAAGGGCGAAATTCACGTGGAAGTCGCCCAAGTTGAGAGAGCGAGGTTGGGAGAGTCTATGTGAACTTCCAAGAACGCCTCCAGCACTGCATCAACGATTCCGGCCACCACATGCCTGATGTGATTCCATCAATAAATTTGTTTTCAACTAAAAATTAACTATTTTATGATTTTTTTAAAACCGTCCATCCTCTCTGCCACACCCTGTATTACCAGATTCAACCAATAACAATGCTAAAGCATGGGATCAGCAAATGAGTTCTCCTGGGGTCTGTAGTTGGAGCACTATTATTTACTTTGTACTATTGTGTGCCTCAAGGAACACAAATTAACTGTACTGGAAAGATTATATGTTTTACTGACATCACCCTCATAATATATAAAGCTGATGACAGGAGTACACTGAAGCAAATCGCTGAAAAGGATTTTATGGGGATCAGTGACTGGTTTGATAGTAAAATTTTAACAGTTAGTCTTAAAAAAACAAAATTTATTGCACTTACATCCTATTCAAAATTTTTACCTAGCTTCGAACAAATTTCTGTTAATTATCATGAACAAAAATCGATAGAATTAACACTTCAAAATATCTTGGAATATATATAGACTCTCATTTAAGGTGGGATAACCATATTAAATATATTATCAAAAAAATCAGAAGTGTTGCCTATAAACTCAAAATGCTTGCTAACATTCTGACAGAAAGTTATGATGTGTAAATCCTGTACCATGCCTTAGTTGAAACCTATATAATATAAGACCTCACAGCCTGGCTGAGGCCTGCAAGACATATATTTCTGACCTAGAGAGCACAAAAAACTGTTTTGAAAGCCATTTTCCATATGCCATTATATCTGTTGAACAACTTTTATCAGAAAACAGGGATACTTAATACTAGACAACTTTATTTCTTACCATAAGCATTGTAATGGAAAGAATTCTCATATAAACACAAGCCTAACACATGATTTTTCCGCTGTTTTTTTTTCATATTTATTTGCCCATTTTTTTTTGTATTTTGGTGAGTAAACATTATTATTACTGCAGATCTGTATCAGCAGTTAAACATTGCAATGTTTAAATCCTCCGCAATGACTCACAAATGTAAAATCACTTCTATAGTTGTAACATCCAAGTTGCTAGGGATCCATCATTATCTGGCCACTAAATGAAAAGACATATTTTTTACTACAGTACTACAGTCACTAGTTTTTCTCCACAGAAGCCTAAAAAATAATTCAAACATAATATGAGGTTTCATTTAGTAGCCAGACAATCATTAACTCCTTATCAGCATATAAACTGCAGTTTCAGCTGTTACATTATTGAATTTGCTGCTTCTGAGGTGAGTGAAGATTTGACACATTCCTTATAACAAATGTGCTGCTATTTTTGTAAGTTGTTCTTCATACTAATCTGATCATAAGTCCATAAAAGTTGCACTGTTCCTAAAATCAACAGTTTTCGCGAAACTAAGTTGGAAAAAGATATGGGTTTATGACAGACATCAACAGTATTTCCTATAATGTTGATTTCACCCACCTTCTAGATATCTGCCAATTTTCAGATACATTTTTTACACACTTTTTGATTGTGTCAAATCATTCATCTACACCATTTCGATCTACAGGCAGAAGATTGGAGTATCAAAGGTTTTCTAGTTACAGGGTACAAAGTCAATGAAATATTGATGGAAAATAGTTCCTGGTCAAATTGGGTGAAATTTTAGTATCTTGTTCTCAATACCAATCTAATCAAGAAGCCTAGAATGCACTATTACTTTTAAAACCAATGATTTTCTAGTTTCATGGTGTTAAAGCTTAATAGATTCTAATAAAAGGATATAGGGACATGATGGAGACCAACACGATTTTATCACTTCTTTGGCCATTGATTAGTTACTTAGTAGCTCCAACAGTTTATACATATATATATATATATATATATATATATATATATATATATATATATATCTAATTTTACTGAGCTACAAGGTTGCATGTTCAAGCTGTGCAATACTTAAATGTATGCAGAAACAGTAGGCTATGAACTTTAACAAGAATTTTTATTCTAAACTGGACAAAACACGCCTACTACACACATTGTTGTCTACCTGGAGTAAAATTAATTTCTAACAATTATTCTAATTGACCTCTAGAAATAGAGATGTGTAATTGTAACAGGACTATATATTTTGCTAGCTGCACCATAGCATTATAAAGATAGGGTTTCGATCTTAAAAGAGACCAGAATGTCATCATTTTCAAACAATGCAAAACGGCGGTACGATCATAGACGTACGATTATCTCAATTGTGACAGAATTTAGGTGACAGGTAGAAGATAACATGAACAACGTAGGTGTTGACTTGCCTAGCACCCATCGGTTGTTTTGCTACTAGATCATGCACCAGATACTTTGCATAGCAGACTTGAATAAATTCGATGTGAATCTCACCTTGCTTGGAACGATGCGCTGCTATTATCCATTACGGTCTAAAATAATCCAATATTTACACCATAGGACGAATGTAAATAATGACTGTCCACGGCAGCAACACTCATTTTTCACAATAACACCAAAAAACATCACTGCGCAAATCTGTTCGGTGATATCAAAAGGAAATTCGAACACGCCACTTACACCTCTGTGAAAATAACACTATAAATCGGAATGAATGTCACTGAAAATCCTATCGAGACGTTCGCTAATTTCAAGACCAACAAGTGTCAGCCATCTTTAGAACTCCTTGCGCAGCACCAATGTTGCCAAGTTTAGTGGGATCCACCAATAAAACTAGATGCCGTCATCTGCGTCCACAATCTTTTTCTGTGAACTCTGGGTACGACCTACGACAGTAACAGCACAGTGATTGTGATTAGGAGAGATCGTAGAATATTCTACTTCAAACATATTTTTTGAGTCTAATAGATATTTGAGTGATGTATCTGAACTACTAGAACTCTATTATAGTGGTAGGTAGGCTTCAGTTAGTTTTGGCCCGGGTCCAAAGGGATGTGAGTGGGTCAGGTAGCGGTCTTGAAAAAATCAGTGTAACATATCAAGCATCATATGGTGTGTAAATGACAACACTGCCTCGTTGCTGCCTGTTTAACGAAAAATTTTAATCTGAACCAAACTGTTACTCCATACCCTCTCAAGAAGCAAAACATTTTAATACGCTCCTAAATAAGAGCACTAATGGTGTTTATTGCTTAATACAATATTATTGACAAACTTATTACAAGTACATAAGATTATATACTGCCTAGGTACTGCCGACCTGAAAGTACCTATAGCGCGTTCACTACACCTGTGGTAGGTATGTATATAACTTTGCCAAATGACACGCTTGACCTGATAGCATCACCCAGCCGTGAATGTCATGCACTTTAGGATGACCTAGTTTATATATTAATACAATCGTCGCCAGTTTTCCTATGTCTCAATAATTCCTATAAAGATGCATAAAGCCACAAACATTTGGAAAACTATCTCAGGGGTGTCCCAAAAACTAAAACTACTGGCCTGAATGAGGTTGAGAAGTTATTAAGCCTTTGCACCAAAGGATACTGACTGTTTAAGATTAAGTACAAAATATGAAAGCCATCAAGTTGGAGAGTCAAAACTGATTCAAGCTATAGGATAACAGAATAACTTTCCTATAATGCATTTAGTTCTATTCTCTTCTTTCTTTCACTTATTAAAAACATCATATTATCATTTATAGAACTATTACAATTGATGTTACATTTTACTTTATATGATAATTTTTCATGGTCAATAGACTAGACCTCTTTTACGACCTGCTCGCTATGATCGCTGTCGTTTAAGCAACATGTACAGCTACAAAACGAGTTCACAACAAGTTTACAAAATATTGAAATAAGCTAACATCTTGTAGAAAAACCTTCGAACGGTGAACGAAATGTCACTTTTTAAGATACGTAATACCCGTGCTGATGAGTGGTCCGCAATAAATTGACCATTTCTTAACGTTTCTGCATACCGTTTGGAAACAAGTAAGTTACAAAATCTATAGGATCTAATAATATAAAGATTTTCAGGTAGTGACTTTTTTATATTCAGAAAATTGTTAATGGATAAAGTATTTTTTTAAATGGAACACCACATTTTTAATGAAAATGATGGTCGCGTTTTTCGGAATCTAAGTATAAATGGTTTTTATGCTAATTTTCGTTACTTTAGTCAAAAACTTGAAGTTTATGTGCCATTTACTTAATCATTACTTGAGTTCGACCGAACTAATGAGAATACCTAAGTATGATAAATCAGATAGGTATGTATATTTGGAATAAAAAACGAGTAACATTTTCACTAAAATTATACATGGAGTTCCATTTAAAAAAGGCACAAGCTTATTCGATACCACTGAGGTATATGAAAAAGATATTGAATGTGAAACTTTATGTAAAATCCTACAATTTTTATTAAAAACAATTTTTGTACATTCATACAAACAAGTTAGAGGGGGTCAATTACACTTCAAATCAAGTTCAAAGTTAGACATGGTTAAACTCATTATTGAATGTCACAACATTCGATGTGCAAAAATAAATATTCCAAACACTTTCGATCTCAATTCCTAGAATCGCATCAAAAATGTTTTCTTGTTAAACCATATTATATTTATTTTGTACATCTACTATCGAACCACCTACGTTCATCGCGCTGACTCACGATATAAAGTTAAATGCTTACGTTTATATTTATTTTTTACTTAAATTATTGTGTACATAGAAATTTAACATCACTCTGTGACAGAACGCGATTTTTAACTGCAACAATGAACTTGAAACGGTCAAGTTTACACAGGTGGGATCATCAGAGCCCGCAGGGAATCCAGTTGGATCTTTCAACTTGCATATTTAGGATTATTGTGGGAACAATTTTGGGGTTTTCAGGATTTGCCTCTCCCCAGCGCTCTTCAAAAAGTTTTTGGGGAAGGTACACTTTCTCAAAAAGCTATCTCTCACGGATGGATTTCTGCGAGCATCCATAGCCGTAGAATGTATTCCTTAACCGCACCGATGTAGATTTTTTAGTATAATATAATAAACTTGTTGAAAAGTCCCATTGGAATGACAAATTTTCAATTTTATTAAACGCATATATATATTTGTTGAAAAAGTGTAAATTTAATCTACAGGATTAGTAAGCTTTTGTCGAAGAACAGGTACCTACCTAACTGAATAATATATTTTTAAATCCTATTGAATTGTTCTGGAGTCCATGGGAATTAGTGAAGGGTTGGCATCAGCGCCGAGACCAAATGAAGGAGTAATCACTCCCACGACATAGGCAACCAGATATACGCTTCTCAATGTATGTAGGGAAAATGAGATTGATGAACATAAAGGGGCCCATACAATGACACCGTATAGCGAAAAATCTATGCCTTATATCATTGGTTAACGCGTTCCACTAGAAGATACCCAGCCCCCAATTGGAAGCTGTGCCTACGGGAAAATAAGCATACGTACCAAGGCTTCGCCTATAACTTGCGATTACAACTATTATACCTGCCGACCACTGTTCTTTAGGTGTCAGCATTGTCACCTCTCAAACTGCTGCCGCAGGTTATAGGATTTGCTTTTCCTTTGGTTGAGACGGTGAAAATTGTAATTGAAACGTGTAAATACAGCGTAAGTGGTTGGCTACCTTTTGAAGAATGTGTTAATCGTTGGTTATTTATATCATGTTTATTTTAGTTGCCATTATCAGGATGAAGTTTACTTATAGTAGCATTTACGAAAATATGATTGGGTATTTTGTTAACAATGAAAAAATAAAGGATGGCGGCTGTGTAAAACTTTATTATCAAAATATAATTAGGACTAAGCCCACGACAATCAACCAACACACGTGAAGAATCTTAAAGCTATCCACACCATTGTTTAACTTCACAAACGGGTAGAAAAAATCATAAGGTAATTTTATGTCAATACCAGGCGGATCCACAAACTTCCGCCTTTTCTCTGTAGATATGTCATAAAACACCACTTCATGCTTCAAATCCAAATCGAATTTAGTAATATTTCTTTGATAAGAAAATGTCTTGTTCACAAAGCCTCCAAAGGCAAAAGTTACCCCTAGAATCTTTTCTTGATTTCTCAACGTACCGACCTCAATTCTTGAGTGAAATATACTAATGATGATGTTGGAAATCAAACCAAAACATTTAGTCTGGTTCAACTTCGTATCAAACTTGCCTTTAGTGCTATTGAGTACAACAAATGGAGGAGTTTTGTACAATATCTTCCACCATTCTTCCAAGCGGCTAACATTGGAATTTCCAAACATTCCTACTGTTGTATTTTCATTATCTGCGTTCCACATTCTCAAAATCTCAGCCTGAATGTTCCTACAAATCTCCGTGCCATTTATGTTCCTTTTTGTATTCACAACCTGACTTTTTATTTTACATCTCCTCAGTACGTTATATCCAAACTCGATTGGATAAAATGTGAAATTATTCAAAATACAATTTCCATCAAAGTTTTCAGGTAATGTAAGAAAATTGCTACGATAATCATAAGGATTTCTCTTGATTTTCAACTTTATGTGAGTGCTGTTTCCAATATTGACCATCTTTCCTATCTTCAGTGGTTTTCCAATTAAATACCCAGGATTTCCACTCTGAAGAGCAGACAAATTTCTGGTTTGATTCAACCACCAAAAACTAACAAGAAACTCTTGCTCAAACTCCGTGGATTTGTCATCGAAATCGTAAATTATGCTAGCTAATTCTGTCAGCACTTCTATTTTTTTGTAACCTTCACTACCGTTGTAATATAACTTATACTCAATCCTTTTGACAAGGTTCTTGCAAACGGTTTGATTGTGCCTGATATCAAGATTACAAGTAATACTCAACCTAGTGTCGTTTTGTGAGATATTTTTACAGTTGGTGAAATGCTCCTCGCATATTTTAGGTGTTATTGCCAAACAAATGTTTCTAGGGCAATCCTGAAAAGATGAACATTAATGGAAATATTTGCGATTTTCAATATTTGTTATAAAACGTTGTAATTTGTTTTTACAGAAGTAGCTTTTGCCACTTTTGTTGGCATTAATCAAACAAGGACAAAACAGTATTTAAAATACAGTGTAATGGATATAAAACGCTTTAGGTGTTGATGAATATCAACGTTAATTGTCGTACTTATATCTTGATGGATTTTTTCCACGTTGTAATAATCAAGGTTTCAAAATAGCATGAAAACTATGAAGTGCTCAGGTCTATTTTACTAAACTAAAGATGTTGAGAGAATTTTATGGATTCAGCTTTCATAAACAGTCTAGGCGACTCATTTTAGTAGATTGATATTAAAACTCCAACCTTAATTGACGCCATTTAGGTGAACTTCAAGGTAGTAATAGATAATTACATATTTATTTTATTTAAATTTACCTGAAATATTCCTCTTCTGTAATTAGTTAAGTTCACATGTTTTGGTGCAGTTATCACGTATTGGCCCTCAAAATAGCTCTTAAGGTTCAAATAATTATTATCTCTATCTATGTCTGTTTGAAGACATTGGCTATGTTTATTTTTGAGGTTTTCCACTTCTTGGGATGATTCGCATCTGTTGGTGAAAAACTTCCTAGGAATCACTGGAAAATGGTTTATAAGATATATATATATATATATATATATATATATATATATATGGAAAGTGGATTCGAGCAGAAAATAGGATAGGTAACCCGAGCGATACCTATTTCTGCTTGTTGGCTTCATCAAGCCCGAAATGAATGCACATATGCAACTACAAAAGTAGTTACACATGCCCATACATTCGAATATGGGTGTAACCTGAGGAAACGAAGATGGAGATTGAAAAAAATGACACACGAAGTCCACACCAAGAGCCAGCCTACACATTGTAGTATAAGATGGCTAGAAGACCTGGAATTTTCAAGGCACCCAATAACCACAACCACACGGCCGGCTATAGCCACTTGCTGTGGTACTTCAAGCGCGAAGGATCTACAAAGAGAAAATTATCATGCGGAGAAAGGTATATAACAAAAAGTAGAATGATAATTTTCTCTATATATCTTTTATGACTATACCCAAATATTATAAACATTTAAAGAATCATCTTACCCAACTTGTCAATTCCTTTCTTTGTGACTATCCATACATTACTTCCCTGTACAAATTTTTCACTGACGTTAAACTGTATGTCAGGTGGTTTTGTATGCTTTGTCCATGAAAACTTTCCCAGCTGTTCTTTCTCTGCAGCACTAAATGTTAAAAGAGGCTGCAAAAACAAAAATTATTCGTAGACAAAATTAGATGTTTGAGGTATTAAAAATGTTTGTTCCATCAAAGCTTGATTGCAATAATTATTCGGCATTGTGAACCAGAGAAATAACCACAAGGACCAGTTGGCGCGTCAATTCATAAGACGACTAAATAAGTTTCGGACTATCATTCCAGTCAGTTCTAAGAGTGACAATATCCCTGGCTCAAATTTGAAGCAAAGTAGGTTGGACGGCCTTGTAGACTGTAGCAAGAAGAAGATCATGATTTAACTGTTATACAAATGTTGGATTGTACTAATTATTCAATTGAGCAGATGCACTTACTGGAAATACGTTTTGATTGTATTTTTTATCATTATGCTTTACTTGAGTAACAGACTTTAGTGAGTCATGTAAGAGACTCTCCAGATTGACGAAGAGAGCCGTAAACTCGAACATCAAAATTCAAATTTTCGGGATACGAGAAGTGGATTGCTCCACGAATTGCCATTTGCCGTGGGCTTGGATTTATATAGCCTTAGTTTTGGTATTAAACGACTTGTTGTATTGATGGGGGTGGAATAAAGTGATATCAATGAAACAATCATTCACGAACACCTTGGAACATCCTGTATATAACATTTTCGCATACCTCTTCCCTTTGAACAATATAAGATGCTGGAAAATTACTCTTCAGAACACAAAACAAACCATTCTGGTTGACCTGTAGCTCAAAAGGCGTGTTGTTGACGTACATGTGTTTCACATATGAACAGTATCTCGTGTCGTAGGTATGAGTTTCAGTTTCGCAATGCGAGAACACTAATTTGTCATTTTGGCTACAGTCTTGGTCACAACAGCAGTTTAGATCACAGATGTTCAACTGAAACATGTTCTTAGAATCACCAGTACTTAATTAATCTAAACTCATTTAGATGAAGTTTACAGTGACAAAGCTATAATTATGTAAGATCATGCTATTCCTGTATTATTTCGGTACATGTTCGCCGTAATATTAAAAAACAAAAGCATGCTATTAAAATAACAATGCTTGTGACAGTTTTCGAATTCAGACAATACTTTCTTACTTCCAAATCACAAAAACATAATTCGTTATTCTTGAACTTCCTTCTTTCTAACTTCCTTCGTTCTGGAGTACTGGTTGTGCTCGCTGGAAGTGAAGTGGTGGTGACATTGATAAGTTCTGTGCTAAAGTTCCCACATTCAGTGCTATTGATATCACAGAACGATGGAACAGTTATAGATTCCGTAGCATTTAGTTCACCTTCCAGCGTGTCGTCAGTGGTAGGAACTTCAGATGATTTGCTGCTGACAGTGCTGGTGCTAGGCGAATTATTGTCTGTAAAAATACTTTCATACAACCTACTGATCATTCTGCCATAGGCTGGGAATACAATCGTAATTCTTTTATAACTTTAGAAAATAAAACAGCATATTTGCAGCAGCACAATATTAATATCAGCTATGAGGGGTTGGGCCGGACTGGCTAGAGAGAGCCGTATTCATCGATGTCGTTGTTTACGGAAATATATCACACACCATTAGTTAACCGCTTGGATAATACGTTAATCAGTGGTCACACGCTATGTGTCCCATTTTAATCTCCTCACTTACATATGTCGAAAACTGTTCATTCTGGAAAAAAGGTTTCAAGAGAAATTTGCAGGATTTCGTGAAGGCAAAGTGATGGTAACCTTGAAATGACCTTAACTACGATCTACAAAGTCAAATCACAATTTCCAATGCAACCTCACATTTTTTCACTGTAAAAGTAGGGTAATTTTACGTCCAAATTTCCAAGATCATATTCGGACGCATAACTTGCTGCTCTTCTCATTTCCAGTATAAAAATGACAGGGTTTCGTTGGAAATTTTAACATGACCTTAAAGGTAATTCATATTCAAGGTCACATTTGGGTGATCCCACAAACTTCACCACTGTGCTGTCGAGTATTTTTGATAGAGCAAATTATTTTCAATGTCTTTGATTTGACCTTGAAATTGTCTTTAAATAAATAATCAAGGTCATGATCAAGGTGATGTTCAGACGTAAAATTTGCTCCCGTTTTCAATTCCTTTGTGGGGGGTTGCATTTGAAAATATTCGCTTGACATTGAAAATACCTTGACGGTTTTGTCAAGGTCATCATCATTTTGCTTCCTCGAAAACCTACAACTTTTGTTTGAAATTTGTGCCTCGAATGTGCAGTTTTCTAAATATTTAAGTGGGGAGATCAAGATGGGACACCGTGGATAGTTGGTTTACTAGCAGGCTATATCTCTTCGTAACGACAACAGATGACAATTGTACCAATCCAGATCTGTCCTTTTTATTATTGGGAACATCGTATTGCCGTCGTCCATGCCAATCCGTTAGTCAGTGTTCTGCATCTACGCCCTAACCTGCTGTAGTTTGTCTTGACTGACTGTACGTTGAAAATGAATTTTGTATAGGCAATAGGAACAAACAAAAATGCATACCCATCCTTTTATAATCATAGATAAGAGCAGAGGATTACTGTAGCGATCACTAATATTATATTGAAGGTGTAACCTTAGATCAGTTATCGTGACATTAGCAATACAGTACTCCATCCTGATGAACAAAATGGTTGTCGTTAGCATTGTTTTTAATGTAAAGTAATATACCCTTTGCTTCAGCAACGATAAGGAGTGTCACTAATAGCCCAACAGCTGTTATGGATCCTCTCTTACTGATATTCCACTCCATAGTTCGTAAAATTTCTCAATATAACGCTCAAGTCGAATGAGACAACTCCCATAGCCTCAGTAGATAGTTTGTATCTCTCGCCCGGAGAGAGAATCCAATCAGGATACCTCAGATGAACACCTCCACCTAAACATATTACAAAAATAATAAATAATAGTTTACAGCAAGTATAGGAGGCAAAAAAATAACATTGGTATGATGATAGCACCCACAGCAGCCCATACTGTTCAAAAAAGTGAAATCCGCAAAGGAAAAATCGGAGCTCGTGCTACTGATTGGTCAACTTTACACGAATTGTATTTTATGTGTGTCTTATACAGAAAAGTGAGTAAGGGGATCTAGCATACAAATGAGTATCTGCTCCAAAATCTAGCGTGGGTAGCAGGTCTTACGGAGAAGCATGGCAATTAATTTCTCGACTATACAGTGTGTCCCAGATTCGTTTCTCTATACAGGGATCTCGACTCCTGTTATACCTACAGCAAAGGTTAAATGGGGACAGTATTATAGGAAACTTAGTGCATTCGATAGCCAGCTTCAAATTTACGATCGGTCAATTGGTTTTGGAAATATCGGCGAAAACCGAAAATGTCATCGAATTTTGTTTTTTCCAGTAAATTCGGAACGCGTAATTTGCCAGCTGTCAAAATGTGACATTATATTTTAAGGCAAAAAAGATAGCGTGTATTATTATATTTATTTTTCTTATGGGCGCCATATTGGATTTTTCAATTTTTGAAAAGAGCTAAAATTTCCAGCCTAGTGATGTCTCACAAGTACATAAGAGGCTGGAGTATCATCAAAATATCATCACACGTAATGTAACCTATTAATTTTTTCCTAAGGAGGCCATGATTTATTTTACAGAAGATAAAATTAATAAGTCACGCATTTTTTTCTTTTCATCTAAGGAGTCTTTGAAGTTATATAATTCATAGTATTAAAATTGTGTTTTGAAATAAGTAGTAGGTACGTTTTCTATCATTACAATCATAAAGCTGACAAAAAATTGTCAACACCTATAGAAAATGGCCGGTATTCCCTAGTTCCCTACTCAAATGAAGAGTCCAGTCTACATCCAGCATCGGAAATGGAAGGACCTCTGAAGAAGCTTGCCACTCGTGCTAGCGAAACGTTAGGAGAAATTGCGAACGTTGTAAGGCATTCGCCACATCGTGTGGGAGCGGTTTTAAAAAAAGCGTCCGATTAATGTCACACTTTGACAGCTGTTAAAATTAACCGTTTTGGATTTACTGGCAAAAAACAAATTCCGCCATTTTCGGTTTTTCGCTGATATTTTCAAAACCACCTGACCGATCGTAAGTCTGAAGCCGTCTATCGAAAGCATTAATTTTCCTCTAAAACTTTCCCCATTTAACCTTTGCTTTAGGTATAACAGGAGCTGACATCCCTGTATAGAGAAGCGAATCTGTGACACACTGTATTTGCTGTGTGAAAGATAAAGGTGACACTGCCACCTATGGTTCGCCAATCCTGCTACCACTGGCTGCAACTTTTACACAGTAAGTCAATGCTGGTAGCATGTAGTGTACTTAGTACTCCCCTCAGTGGCGATGGGATGTCTCTGTGGTGGACCTTCTTAGAAGCGAACTCGGTCATTCATGTAAAGATCTGGGGAAACTGGAGTTTCCTGCTACCGTACGTAGGGGGTCAGTACTTTCGCGATTGGCGGTGAGCGATAGATCGTAGCAGTGGCAGATCCAGAGAAAATTTGTTGGGGGGACTTTACAGAGCAAGAGGGGTGTTGGCGTTTGAAAATATAAGAGAGGGATGGGCGGCTTTTGCATCAGTGTTGTGAGCGGGGTCCCTCGACGATTGGAAATTGTTGTCCGTTTGACAATTGAAGACTTGAAGACCGGGGGTATACTTTAATAAACATGCTGTGTATTTTTCTTTTTCGTCCCCCCTACCACTCCCCCTCCCGCCCGTGCATTCGTCACCATGCGTGGTAGTGTCATCGTTACTCTCAGTGAAATATTAATTACTCACCATCCTACCAATGACGTTCTATAAAAAAGTTGCATAGGTGGCAGTTTCATCTTTATTTCTATCAAACTAAAATGCTGAGTTTTTCAGTGTTTGCCTTCCGTCATCTGTCTCCAAATGTTTAGACCCAGACCGTACCGATTACTTCGAAAAAGCATGATACAACGTTTTAATCGGTTGGTTATGGTTATATAGACGGAAAGCAAACAGATCCTATTCAGCCTATATTAGTTGTCACAATACTGATTTTACCTAAAAAGAATTGAGTGAAGCGTTCCTTAAGGCTGCCAAAAGGTCTCCAGGTATAACAGTCTAAATTATGGTTACCTGGACTGGACGGAACTATGATGAGGCCGTAGCCAAACAGGTGAGCTCTGCCCAACCAGTCTAGATGATATACTTCAATGTAGATTTTTGGCCAACCTGAAAAAATAATTTCTGAAACTCACATTGGAATGATTAAGTGCTCGTTGATCAGCCTGAAGTGTGTATCTGACAGATCTACATGTGATTAGGATCTAACCGAAGATCAATTTTATGACCAAAGTCGATATTTGGCTTTTGACACAACCCTCGGCCTAAGCTGAATGTTCAGTTAATCAAGAACGCAAGTTGTTTTATAAAAATAAAATGGTAGATTGGAAATTCTAAAAATCTACAACATTGTACACACTATTATGCTAAATATGCAAATTGTGGGGTCGAATCGGAACGTTCTATTCTGGTTATATTTGAGTATATCAGAAAGTGGTGCCTAGAAAATTTTAGAATGAAATACACTATCGGAAATAAACCGTAAATTCCTGATTTCGGCATTTTTTGCTGAGACACTCACGGTTCTGGTCATAAAAAATCTTTAACGTCTTTGTTAAAGAAGATATTTACAATAAAAATACTTCATTTAAATTAGGGGTTTAAAAATAGTTTACATATTCACAGGCCTACTTATGAAACATTTTCAAAATTATACCTTGTAATCAAGTCACTTTTCAAAATATAGTGACCATTTGAATCATTTTATTGTTTGACGTGAAATAAGTTGAATAAAATCGATTTTAACTACAATTATGAAGTTTATGCAAAAAATAATAAATGTATAATATACAGTTTGAACCCAAAAACTGTAGCACACCAACACCGCATAGTAGACCTTTAGCATCTATATTCTATATTCCAACGCTTATCTTGGAGTTCTTCCTAAATTCGCTGACCAAGATTATGTATTTTACTCCCTCGGTAAATGATATTTCTCGTCAGTAGAGAATTTTTGAAACGTTCGGCTAACCTTCTGCTTTTTTTGGCCGAATTTGTTGCCGATAATGTTTTTTTGGCCAAATGTAACCAAAGCTTCGGCCAGACTCTAGGTATAACTATTAAATTCGTGATGTAATCCATCTTTCGGAAGTTCAAAAATACGTTCTAGTCTTAGGTTTATTGGTTATATAGTATTCAAGCTTAGGAGTGGCCAGCATACCTCGGCAAAATCATTATAAGCCAAAATCTTGTTGGAACTAGCCTTTTTATGAACGATTAAAATCAGCGGTCGCTACCTAAGCAGGCTGATCGTCGATCGAAAGTGAGGTAAATAAAGGAACCATGTCAGGGGTCTGGGATGACCAAGTAGGGAACGGAGCTCCGAATTAAAAGTAACAGTAAGGTGATGATAAAATGTATATACATTCATACATACACATATCTTGATCAATGCCTCTATTTCAGTATCTCCGCTAATTAGTTCGAAATATATACGAGTATAGTTCAATATATCATTAAAAGAATTTAGTAATGTGTACTACTCTGAATTTTGGAAAATCTTTGAAATCGTGATCTCATATAGAGAGGAAAGTATAAAAATATGATAAAAAACTGGGAGACTTCAATTTTCATTCAATGAATATTGCTAATTAGTGGTGTAGGACAGTTGGCAAAGCGTACACACGGCAAAATATTACGTAGGGTATTCAAAAATTCGCAATTTCTCTATGAAGGTTGTCCAAGTGCCTCATGGATGGTAAGAAGAACCATCCAACCAGCTCATTCTGTTTCTCCTGATAATGTTTCACGCACTGAAAGTTCTAAGACATCTTTGAAATACTCTTGTTTGCCACACTTGCATCATACCTTTGTGCGCCATGTATTGCTATCACTGGCTTTTTGTATCTCGCATTAATATAACTTGTGAACAGAAGATAGTGAAAATACAAAAATCATTGACTTTTTGTATATTATTGTGGTTGAATATATTTTGCTTACAAAGTTTCACTGTTATTAGTGTAAATAACTTATTATAAAATAATATGTATATAAAGTAAAATTTGGCCAAATGTAACCAAAGCTTCGGCCAGACTCTAGGTATAACTATTAAATTCGTGATGTAATCCATCTTTCGGAAGTTCAAAAATACGTTCTAGTCTTAGGTTTATTGGTTATATAGTATTCAAGCTTAGGAGTGGCCAGCATACCTCGGCAAAATCATTATAAGCCAAAATCTTGTTGGAACTAGCCTTTTTATGTACGATTAAAATCAGCGGTCGCTACCTAAGCAGGCTGATCGTCGATCGAAAGTGAGGTAAATAAAGGAACCATGTCAGGGGTCTGGGATGACCAAGTAGGGAACGGAGCTCTGAATTAAAAGTAACAGTAAGGTGATGATAAAATGTATATACATTCATACATACACATATCTTGATCAATGCCTCTATTTCAGTATCTCCGCTAATTAGTTCGAAATATATACGAGTATAGTTCAATATATCTTTAAAAGAATTTAGTAATGTGTACTACTCTGAATTTTGGAAAATCTTTGAAATCGTGATCTCATATAGAGAGGAAAGTATAAAAATATGATAAAAAACTGGGAGACTTCAATTTTCTTTCAATGAATATTGCTAATTAGTGGTGTAGGACAGTTGGCAAAGCGTACCCACGGCAAAATATAGGGTATTCAAAAATTCGCAATTTCTCTATGAAGGTTGTCCAAGTGCCTCATGGATGGTAAGAAGAACCATCCAACCAGCTCATTCTGTTTCTCCTGATAATGTTTCACGCACTGAAAGTTCTAAGACATCTTTGAAATACTCTTGTTTGCCACACTTGCATCATACCTTTGTGCGCCATGTATTGCTATCACTGGCTTTTTGTATCTCGCATTAATATAACTTGTGAACAGAAGATAGTGAAAATACAAAAATCATTGACTTTTTGTATATTATTGTGGTTGAATATATTTTGCTTACAAAGTTTCACTGTTATTAGTGTAAATAACATATTATAAAATAATATGTATATAGTAAAATTTGGCCAAATGTAACCAAAGCTTCGGCCAGACTCTAGGTATAACTATTAAATTCGTGATGTAATCCATCTTTCGGAAGTTCAAAAATACGTTCTAGTCTTAGGTTTATTGGTTATATAGTATTCAAGCTTAGGAGTGGCCAGCATACCTCGGCAAAATCATTATAAGCCAAAATCTTGTTGGAACTAGCCTTTTTATGTACCATTAAAATCAGCGGTCGCTACCTAAGCAGGCTGATCGTCGATCGAAAGTGAGGTAAATAAAGGAACCATGTCAGGGGTCTGGGATGACCAAGTAGGGAACGGAGCTCTGAATTAAAAGTAACAGTAAGGTGATGATAAAATGTATATACATTCATACATACACATATCTTGATCAATGCCTCTATTTCAGTATCTCCGCTAATTAGTTCGAAATATATACGAGTATAGTTCAATATATCATTAAAAGAATTTAGTAATGTGTACTACTCTGAATTTTGGAAAATCTTTGAAATCGTGATCTCATATAGAGAGGAAAGTATAAAAATATGATAAAAAACTGGGAGACTTCAATTTTCTTTCAATGAATATTGCTAATTAGTGGTGTAGGACAGTTGGCAAAGCGTACACACGGCAAAATATGGGGTATTCAAAAATTCGCAATTTCTCTATGAAGGTTGTCCAAGTGCCTCATGGATGGTAAGAAGAACCATCCAACCAGCTCATTCTGTCTCTCCTGATAATGTTTCACGCACTGAAAGTTCTAAGACATCTTTGAAATACTCTTGTTTGCCACACTTGCATCATACCTTTGTGCGCCATGTATTGCTATCACTGGCTTTTTGTATCTCGCATTAATATAACTTGTGAACAGAAGATAGTGAAAATACAAAAATCATTGACTTTTTGTATATTATTGTGGTTGAATATATTTTGCTTACAAAGTTTCACTGTTATTAGTGTAAATAACTTATTATAAAATAATATGTATATAAAGTAAAATTTGGCCAAATGTAACCAAAGCTTCGGCCAGACTCTAGGTATAACTATTAAATTCGTGATGTAATCCATCTTTCGGAATTTCAAAAATACGTTCTAGTCTTAGGTTTATTGGTTATATAGTATTCAAGCTTAGGAGTGGCCAGCATACCTCGGCAAAATCATTATAAGCCAAAATCTTGTTGGAACTAGCCTTTTTATGTACGATTAAAATCAGCGGTCGCTACCTAAGCAGGCTGATCGTCGATCGAAAGTGAGGTAAATAAAGGAACCATGTCAGGGGTCTGGGATGACCAAGTAGTGAACGGAGCTCTGAATTAAAAGTAACAGTAAGGTGATGATAAAATGTATATACATTCATACATACACATATCTTGATCAATGCCTCTATTTCAGTATCTCCGCTAATTAGTTCGAAATATATACGAGTATAGTTCAATATATCATTAAAAGAATTTAGTAAATGTGTACTACTCTGAATTTTGGAAAATCTTTGAAATCGTGATCTCATATAGAGAGGAAAGTATGAAAATATGATAAAAAACTGGGAGACTTCAATTTTCTTTTAATGAATATTGCTAATTAGTGGTGTAGGACAGTTGGCAAAGCGTACACACGGCAAAATATAGGGTATTCAAAAATTCGCAATTTCTCTATGAAGGTTGTCCAAGTGCCTCATGGATGGTAAGAAGAACCATCCAACCAGCTCATTCTGTCTCTCCTGATAATGTTTCACGCACTGAAAGTTCTAAGACATCTTTGAAATACTCTTGTTTGCCACACGTGCATCATACCTTTGTGTGCCATGTATTGCTATCACTGGCTTTTTGTATCTCGCATTAATATAACTTGTGAACAGAAGATAGTGAAAATACAAAAATCATTGACTTTTTGTATATTATTGTGGTTGAATATATTTTGCTTACAAAGTTTCACTGTTATTAGTGTAAATAACTTATTATAAAATAATATGTATATAAAGTAAAATTTGATAAATAATATCTACGAGCCCCTTCCCACTTCAGTTGACCCACTTTGTACCAAAATATGCCTTTATAAACTAAACATGACGAAACTATTTACTTCTAAAACAATTTATTTTCTCAAAAACATTTTAGATACACTCTAGTCGTAAAAAATACATATTTGAAATCACTTAGACCTATAACTAATAGAACATCTGAACAAATAAACAATGTGCGAATAAATGCGCGAAGTTAACAAAGCAACAATTGAAAGATTACCATTGGGTAACATCACCTTTATTTTTTTTACGGCTGAAATTATTTGGGGCATAGTGTTAACCAAGTTTTGGCAAAAATTTGGTGCAAAACAATCCCATATTTCTTGAAGCTTTTGTCTCAGTTCGGTGATTGTACCAGCAGGATGTTGTCGTAGAACCTTTTTAATCTCGTGCCACAAAGTTTCAATAGGTGACAGATCTGGACTGCTAGAAACCCATTTCAAAAGTGGTACATTCTTTTCTTCCATCCATTTTATAGCCTTTTTTGAGGTATGGCACGCTGCACCATCTTGCTGAAACACAAAAATCTTGGCCGGATATCAAACATTCTTCCATCACTGGTAAAAGCGATTCTTCTAAAATTGCCAAATATTCCACATTTCCATCAATAAAATGAAGTTTTCCTACTCCTTTTGATGACATACTGCCCCAGACCATAATGGATGCTGGAAATTTCACTTTTCTCTTCAGACAGTCAACATGGAATGCTTCATTTTTTTGCGAATAACTCTACTGCGACTGTCACCAACACAAACTTCGAATCGGGCCTCATCACTCCATTGTATTGCACACCATTGTTGAGGTGTCCATTAATAGTGGCTTTTCTTTGGCATATAAACAAGTTGTGCAACTTTAGGGTTTTTAATTCACTTTTTTTTATAAGAAAACTTACCTTGCAAGTGCTAAATCCCAGTTTGTGGGCCTATCTATGAGTTGAGGACCTCGAAATTCTCCTTCCAACAGAGTCACTCCACAGAGCACTTAATTGTAAATAATTGGCACGCCTGTTTTTCACGCTTATTCTTCTTAATGCTCTTCGGTCGGCATTTATGATATTACTTTTTTCACATATCGTGGCTTAATATTAACTGAACCAGTTACGTTATAGCTTCTAGCAATATTTCTCACACTGTACCGCGATAAGTCTAACAAAGGTGCAATTTCTGAGTCTGATTTCCCAGAATGAAAAAATTTAATTATCAGAAACCGAATTTTCTCACTAATAACCGTTCCTCTACCCATTTTGAAAACCTTAACTACCCAAAACTATTTTAAACGTATTCTGACAGCTGTGATTAATAAAAACAAATGTCATGGCTTTTATTTTTCACAGCCACCTATGCGTTATAGACTTGTTTTGCATTGAAATGAGAATAGATTGATATGCTGTAATTGCAACATGTGCTATTTTTATGCTGCAAATTTAATTAGGGAGTGATAAAGTTGGTGTTTTCTACTATATATTATCAAAATATTAATTTTTAATATTTTAAACCTATAACACCCTGCTACATTTTTATTATTTGTATTTGATAAGAAAAAAACTAAGATTTCAATAGTTGGGAAAACTGAAGCGGGAAGGGGCTTGTATACCTATACTAAAGTAAAATATGATAAATTGCTTTGATGGATTTCAGAAATAATGTAGGTTTCCTACCTTGCAATCCAGCTGTAGCTAGGTGTATATCAATGGGAAATGACCACCTGCATGCCTGATCAAACTGCGACCATGCCACTTGGGTTTGTCCTTCGCACTTACCTTCGATCACCTTCCAATTATTACCTAAAGTTTGGAAAAATGAGGGCACCGTGTCAAGTTTTGAATTTTGTAACTTCCTACCTGTGTGCAAGTGCCATTTACAAAATAAATGCTGCTTTGGAAAATCTTTTGCCTCTCTAATCTGGCCTATAATGTGAACTTCAGCCATGGAAGGACAAAATCTGTTTATATGAAAGGCCAACAATCCTGGTAAAAGTAATAATGGGATTGTTTACTAGCCCTTTAAACTGGTTGCCTAGCAACCATACTCGATTAGCTTTCCAATGTTGCCATTTTGAAGGAAACAGGATATCAAAATCCTAGAGCCAGTACTCACCATCATTGTTAAAATTGATTAAATCAATTCTCCATTTTTTTGACCAAAATCACCCTCCCTGCTAACATGAGTATCAGTTTCATCACATTAACCAGTTCGAAAGAATAGGTAGGTACTTAGATCATAAATTGTGATATCTGTACCTATGGTAAATATTGAGATTTATTAATCTTCGTTATTAAAAAAGAATGGGCAATGACAAAAATTTTTACTTTTGATATTAGTACAACTTTTCTTAGAAGTCTTTCCAGTTTAAAAGTATTTCAAATTATCATAATACTTATACCTCTATACTATCTCATTGACAAAATTAATGCTTGCTTATCCTACTATGAGGGACAATAGTATACGTTCAGCGGGCACTTGTTTTGCCAAAATCAGAATTTGTATTTTAAATATTTAAATCCAAAATTCATAGTTTCAATGATAAATATACGGGCTTGGCAATGGTGCAGTGAACTTTTCTTCTCCCACCTCGACAGCAGCTATTTACCTATTTTTGGATGTATAAACATTTTATTAATTATCACATTCTTTGTTCTGAGATTGATTTTCGGCATTAAATCTGTAGCTTATGAGTAAAATTGATTATATTCGCCTAATTACCATTTTATAAGGCTGATTTTTGGGTACGTGCGAACTCCACTACGCATGTGCCGTAGGTCATTGCCGGTTCATTGAATGTCTCGTAAAGTCGTAAAGATGGCTGTTGGCCGTTGTGATTATTTCTAAACGAAAGTTGTGTTTCCAAGAGTGTATTCATATGCAATTTATGCATAATCATAATTATTTTCACCCATATAGGCAGATAGACGATTGTAAGTAACTTATATTTTATTATTTCTGCATAATCTTAGTTTCATTATCTGTTGACAATAAGGTGGTGCAGTATTGATCAGGTTTCATAATAAAGTTCCAAAAAGTGCTTAAGGCTCACACAAGCAAACGTTGCTTGATATTTTCTATCACAAATAGATGCTGGTATCACAATACGTGTCAAACACCTTTTAACCATTTTCGAAAATTCAATATATGTACATAACATTATATGTTCCTAAACCAAGTCAAAACCAACATTTTCTTTGATTTCAAGAAACTGGGATGCCCAAAAGGGGTCACAGTTCTCCGTCAGCAATGTGTTCGTCCAATGAGAGCAACAAAGCAAATTTCAAGCTTGGACAAATTATCACTGATCTGAATGGGAAGCAATGGAAACTGGGCAGATCTATAGGTAATGGAGGATTTGGTGCAATATATGAAGCATCTGATGACTGCAGTAAATATGCCGAGACTGTTAGTTATGTGGCCAAGGTAGAAAAGCATTCAAATGGTCCACTTTTTGTGGAAATCAACTGTTACCTGCGGATAGCCAAATTAGACATGAGTAAGTATCAGTAGTGCTGGTAGAATTATGCTGAAATAAATTAGTTGTGAGGCTTTACTATCATTATATGTGTCATGATTGTGTAATTTATATAGTTACATTTAACACAAGTATTGAACCAGATAGCTAACAGTACCACCATTATACGGACTTAAATGCTTCATGTAGAGCCAGGCATATGACTCGTGCTGTAGGAAGTTTGAATTTTAAGACCCTAAGCTAACTATCCTGTATGTTTTTTAATAGACCTGCATGGTTATTATGGAAAAAGGACTAGAACTGGGGCTAGAAGTTGAGTCAAGTGTGCTTTAGTCACAAAAGTTATAGCCTTCGGGAATTATGTAATTATGTGTTTTAGTCTGGCTATAATTTTTAGCAGGGTCTTGAAGTTACCGGTTACCACATTGTCAACCTCCTGTTTCAGCAATTCTATAGTCTTTTTCACCAGTATCCATTATGGTAGAATAACAGCTGATTATCTAATAATATTTCAAAATTTCCCACAGCAAAAATGATACATAATTCTGATGGACCCATCAACACCAGGTAGACACAGCTGTGTTTTGTCTTTTTTTTTTTTGTACAGTTCAGATTCATTTTGTACTTGCTAACAACTCTTACTCATTTGCATACAAAAAAACGCTCGCTAGATTTACACCCGATTCGTTATTGTCAACGTTACAGACTAATAAAGATTTGCCACTAGCTGATCAGCGGCTCACCTCAATAGTTGTCAAAATCTGATGGATACTCGTGAAACAGGGTATAAGTGTTTGTTCTAAGACTAAGCGGTTTTGTTAACAGTTTTGTCATTTAGCTTTGCAAACTTTGTGTCATACCGAAAATTAGTTCAGTGCTTTAGTGAATTCCCTCAACTTGTGGTTACTCTCATGTTATGCTTCAGTGCCTATAGCATTGTCACAGAAGTGTGATGGTATTTTAAAAATTGATAGATTTATATTGAAATATTTTTATCTTCTAAGCTCTAACTAGACAACTTCTCAAAAAGCAATTTTTTTTTTCACCATACCCTTGCTGAATATGTATTTGATGGGTACTGTTGTACTTCTCCTTTTGAATATCTTGCAATTCAGGCTCTAACATACAAATTTTGAAAATAAAGGTTTATCATTTTGAGGAGAATAAGTGCTCAAAAATCATTTATGCTTATGTTTGAGAAACTTTGCTACATATTGAAATAATATTCCAACCAAATATTGATATCCTCATTTAATAGGGCTCATTTCATTCAGAATCTTAAAAAATACCAGCGATTTTTCCTTAAGGTTTTGATTGCCGAAAGGCCTTTTAAACTGGCCCACATTGTTTGCTATATAGGAGTTTAAACATATTATACTAACTTCATAAACATATTATACTTCATCAGTAATTTTTGATATTATCTTTCCATTTGGCATTTTCTATACAGCTGACAAATTAATTTTAACACTCATTAGAATTATAGCATGGTCTAAATCTCTGTTAACCACTTAATTCTGCAGCTACAAAAACGACTATACTTGTAGCCGACTTTCTAGTCCTCAAATGGACTAGTTACAGTTACATAATTCCGAAATAACAGGAATGACAAAAAGTCGGCTGTCACGTGACGAAGCGACAAGTAGGGATATAAGTTGCAGTTCTAGCTAGCATAAAAGTACTGCTGGTCCTGACTTCCCTCATTTTTTAGCTGTTTTTGAAATACTTGCTAACGTGTTTATATATTGCTTTTTCTGTGTGGTTTATTTGGTTACAAAAATATGTTTACCTTCCTGTATTAATTTTCAGTTGCTGAATGGAAACAACAGAAAAACCTTGAATACTTGGGTATGCCTCACTATGTCTCATCTGGATCACATTATCATAGAGGTGAAAAATATCGTTTTCTTATCATGCCCAAATATAAAATGGATCTTGAACGTATCTTCAAAGAGAATAGAATTTTTAACCTAAAAACTGTACTCACTATTTCATTACAATTAATGGACATTTTGGAGTATATTCATAGTAAAGGCTATGTTCACTGTGATGTGAAGGCAGCTAACATAATGCTAGGTACCACAACTGAAACCAGTGATGTCCTTCAAATGGAACTGGAAACTGTAGAAAAACCTGTATTCAGATGTACAAGACAAAGACGAGAGCCACCCACAATCATAACTCAAAATAGATGCAGGAAGACCAGGCAATGCCACAGAAAACCTGTGAAATATATTGATGATATCCCATTCCTAGATGAGGTAAGAAATATTTTTTTATTATATTCTCTTACAGGTACATCAACTAGATGAAATGTTACAAAAAATATTCACATGTTTATAGATATTTACATTCGCGAAATTCATGTGAATATTCTGTTAGTATGGGTAGCAGAAAGGGAGAATATGAAAAAAATATTATGGTCTTGTACAAAACAAGGAATATCATTTTTTGCTAGAAAAGCATGTAATAGATAGCAAAAAATTTATTCTTCATATAAAGCCGCGTATACATATGCGAGCCGAGCCGCTTGCGAACTGCTAATTTGATGATTGGGACGGGATTTATAGCACCAGACTGAACGCTCACGAACCGCTCCTGAACGTTGCGAACTGTGTCCAGTCGGTTTTTTATTTTCGAATATGGCGTAGGCGGAAGAAAAACATTTTCACACTTATACCTGTATTTATAATTCTGAAAAATCAGGATGAATGTAGTGAAGCAATATCGTCAAGAAAATCCTGTTTCCACAGAACATACTAAAATACAGCAATAAGTGTGAAAATGTACTCAATTCAAAAAGTAGAAAACTGGTTATGTTGTTTTTGCATCAGGTGGCGAAATATATTAACACACGCACTCTGTGCCAATTTTCAGCAACAGATTTTCAAAATCAGTAGGCGACATTCGCGTAAAGTTTTTATATTAGCCGCTCATTTCTTATGATTTCAAGACCATCATAAGTTCCATACCACTGCTTTTCTTATATAGATCACTTATCCATCAACGCCTTTGTTTCCTCTTTTTCTTGCACAAACTACCAATTACTAAAGCCGCACCACGCATTACCATGATCGAGTAAATTTCCTCGCGCCGAAGACATGATTCAAACTGAAGTACACAGACTGCTATTCGCTGGTGGTTTGAGGCTGGTTCGCTTTTATTCCATTTATCGCTTAAGAGTAAACATTTTTGCAGTTGGCTGTAAAAATATAATTATAAGCAAAGTTAAAAATTTCTCACATACAGCTAAGGTGGGTTGAAATGAGTTTTGGTGAAAAGAACGTCCAATAAACTGAGCAAACTGAAGTTAGATTGTGGACAAAACAAATGCAACAATAATTATGGAATAATAACCCCAAAGAAACAAAAACTATATATTATATTCTTTTTACTTTTATCAGTTTTTATGAATGTTTTACAAATGAAAAGACAATTCTTTTGTCAAGCTTTTTATGGAAACAAATGTTTTTTACAAACTAGATAATTATTTCCTTTTTTATAGAGTAATATTAAACTCCAAAAAGAGCTTATCAGTTCAAGTATGTTATGGTATAGAAAAAACCGACGAAATATCATCTTACAGACTAGGTAGTTTTTAGTGTGCAAATAGTTCATTCCACGTTTGCTTGCTATGATCGCTGTACGCTGTCGTTTAAGCAACACATACAGCTACAAAACGAGTTGACAACAAGTGTAGAACAGCTTGTGCTATGTTAACATCTTGTAGAAAATCTACGAAATGTCACTTTTCAAGATACGTAATACCCGTGCCGGATAAGACGCAATAACGTGTGTTCGAATCACGCGGTCGCGAATGCCTTAAAATTGATATTTGTTACACCACTAGTATACAGTGCTTTTTAAGCCCCCACCCCTCTCCAATTACTTTTTGAACATATCAAGATAGCAGCCTAAAACTTATGGTGATGAAGTTAATGCATGGCTACCGTGGCTAGAGTTAGAGAAACTTTACTGATGGGCATACTGAACATTGCAAGTTTCCTCATATGAACAGAGGCGTGATGAATGGTAGCAAACTTCATGTTTGGCGTTGAAACTTGGGGGGCGGTCAATGCCCCTCTTATCTTCAACTATGATGAATCCTATATTCTAAAAAGATTCAGTTAAAAATATCAAGGCGACGGCTGAGCGCTATCTTAGAACATTTTTTCAAATGGAATGGGGGGTCACATGGTAACTCATTGCGAACCTCCTTATGAGTACTTTTTAACCCTAGATTATAAATTTACATTTCAAAATCGCTGAATGGCGGGCTGTCAATGTTGGCTTTTTTTAAAGATTCCTTTGTGATCTTAAACTCATATTTATATTATATTTTAACTAGTATGTTCTTATGACTTGTTTGATACAACTTTTCCGGCTTTACGAATTCCGGCAACAGCGTTGATTAAGGAAAAAATCACCTTACGAAATGAGCTCGTTCTTATTCTCCTGAAATAACAGTGATACTTTTGTACATGACAAAGAACATCTCGCTACTGCACAAACCCAAAATAACGAAAATGATAACAAAACAGTAAAATAAGAGCGCTAAAGACTTTTTATCCATTCGTTTCATCAACCCAAACTTATGTTTGCTAACTTGTCCGATCAAAAACTAATGGAGGGGCTTTTTTGAAAGCACTGTATAATTGTATCTGAACTGAATAATCTATAAGAGCGACTTTTGACTTTGCCAGTTTCTTTACTGCAAATTTACAAAAATGTACAGGGTCGGCATTACGGCTCCTATGCTTGTGGAATCGTAAAGTGCAGGGGATGCATTTTTATGATGAGTCATCTTGATTTCCTCTGTATATTTTTTAAAGGAGACAAAACGAAAGATCTTTTAGCATATATAATATACAGGGTGTTCTAAACGTCGATACCAAACTTTTAGGGAGCGATAGTACATTGCATATGGAACACAAAAAGCCACGTATACCTTGGTACAAAGTCGAACTATGTTGGCAATTTTGTGAAATCTCAGAAAAAAGAACAAATTCTTGTGATAAAACATTGCTTGTTCAATAATGGAGAGCAACTCCTTAGTTTTGTTACTTTTCTGATGCATAATCTTACGTAGTTTCCAAGTTAACGCAAGATGGAGTAGATATTATGAGAAAAAAATTTAATTTTCTGAATAGTTCGACGTTGCACTGCCTCTTGACTTTCCAAACGAATTTATGGGAAATTTTGATTTAAAATCACCGAAAAATCCTCCAACGCTTCTGCTTTTGCTTTGTAGTGTGTCATATCAAGTGATGCAAACATAATTTTTTTCTCAATGTCAGCGATTATTGGAACAAGCAGGATCTCATTGGAATTACGGAAAACCATGGAAGACATTTCTCGCAAGGTAAAGCACATACTTGTGGCAAAATTATTCATCCACTCAATCATAAAATTTAAATCGTTATTTTCTGTGTGATTAGGTTCCACAGTACCTTGTACCCTATCTGAAGATTTTGTGGGGAGATATGGCAACTGTGCAGATTGAAAAATTCTGAAATTTAATACCCGAAAATGCCATTAACATTTTCAAGAACTTGACAAAATTCGGAACAAGTGACACACCCAGAAGTATAATACAAAACCGTGATACACTATGTATTTTCACATTGTAGTAGACACTATTCGTCAAACTTATAAAACATTTGAAAGCAACAAAATCACTCACTTCTTATTCTAAATATGCGAACAAGTATTTATCTTGCATTTTGATGATCTCTTTTGTATCTCTGTAGTAACTGGGCTCATAGCCATCTGGGGTTTTAATTTCTCCATTCAAAATTTTTACGAAACATGTGCGCCTTGGAAATTTCGTAAAAACCAGTCCTATTGGCTAGCTTCAAACATAAAAATCAAGTTAGATCCGGAGACCATATATGCACGAAGGGGATACAAATGTACAAGATCCGGTACAAATGTGGGACAGTTTTTAAAAAATTTCAAAATCGGTTAATTAAGGGCCGATGATGCAATTATGCGATACAGTGCATCAATCGGTCACTTTTGGGGTGTGCAGCGGTCTTTCATGTAGCTGGCGCAGATTTTCATTTTGTCCAATGACGGTACTTCAGCTGGTTAAACATGCCATTAAGATGAAAGTGAGCTTCATCACTCATGATCAAAATGAGGTTCTCATTTTGCTCGATAAGTGCTTCCATCTCACGCGCGAAGTTCATTCGTTGTTGCGTAATATCCAGGCTGTAACTTTTGCACAATGGCCAATTTGTAGGGGTGCAAGTTGAGTTCCATATGCAAAATACGCCTTATCTAACGATCACTGAGGCGAAGTTCAGCAGCATGTTGCCGAGCAGATCGAGCCTGACTGCGAAGGAGGGCTTGTCGAACGCGTTCTACATTTTTAGCGGTTCGAATTGAACCAAACGAAGGATGGTGTTTCAAGAAGGAACAGCTCGATTCCGATGAATATTGAAGTCGCGACAAATCTCACGCTGTACAGACGTGATAGACTCATTATGTCGGACAAAACTGTCGTACGAGAGTACACGGTGCTCAACCGTCCACTGCTCCATAAAGTCTACTAGTAAAAATGCTAGGAACGCTGAAGTCGAACGGTACTCTCCCCACCACTCTCGCTCGAATAAGCGGAGAGTACTAGCCATTTCAAAACATCCGTCCTTTGTACCGGACCCTGTATAAAAATGAAAATGATTAGGAATGCTTCATTTTCTACAAAGTAAAAATTCATAGTGTATCATGGTTTTGTACTTTTGCGGTGTGTGACTTGTACTGAAGTTCTGTAATGTTATTGAACTTGTTAATTGCATCTCTGTGTATTGAATCTCGGGTTTTTGAATATTTTCTTTTTGCCTCGTTGCCATACCTTCCCAAAGAATCTTGAGATTAGCTAGAATGTACCCTGGAAACGAATCACTTTTGGTAAACTGACTACTTCAGCAACAATAACGAAACAAATGTGGGAAAACGCACAAGAGAAAACGATTTAATGATTGCCCGAATGAATTATTATTGTTACTACCAAGTGCTTTATTTTATGAAAAATGTGTTTTGTAATTTCAATGAAGTTCTGCTTGTTCTAATATTAAGTGATATAACGAAAAAAAATGGTGGTTGCATCATTTTCCATGGCATACTATACGAAGGACTAGAAATGGAGGGAGCTTTTTCATTAATTTTGAATTAGAATATATCTGCATAGGAAGATAATACATCAAGATAAATGAGAAAAATAACTAAGGAGTTGCTTGCCATTATTGGACAAGCTTTGGTTCATCATATAATTTTTTTCACACACCTGCGCGTAACTCAAAAACGGTATACGTGGATTATTGCGTTCCAAAAGGAGTGTACTGTAACCTCATATAAGGTTGGTATCAATCTTCGGAACACCCTGTATATGGGTTCTGACGCCTGGGATTATTTTCACAGATTATTACGAATATTACTTGATGACCAAAAAATCAATAATCCAAGCTACAAAGTAGTCAACGCCACTGCAACTAAAGATGACGCAGAACACTTAATATTATAGTTTACTTCATCTTACCAGTCCTATGCGTCTCAGACAAGAGTTCTAGAGTTGTTTATCATATTGTAGGTCCTAGATGATTTTGAAGGGACAAAAGAAGCAAAATGTGAGAAAAAGACTGTAGCTGAACACAACCACATTTTCCTACTTGATTTTGGCCTTGCAACAAAATATCTGCAGACAAATGGAGAGCACAAAAAGTTTTGTACTGATGAACGACGCGCGCATGTTGGAACAATGCTTTTCTGCTCCAGAGATGCTCATAAAGGAGTTCTGTCAAGGAGATCTGACCTGGAAAGCCTGGCTTACAATATGGTGTATTGGTTGACAGGTACCTTACCTTGGATTGAGGACTTGGAGAGACCGGAGGAAGTGGAGAAGAAGAAGACGAGATGTCTCAATAATCTCACCAGTTTCCTGCAGCTCTGTTTCAATCTAGAATACCCGCGGTTTCTGTTAGATTACATTAATTATTTGAATAAGTTGCAGTTTGAGGTAAGTCTCTTGTGTTTTGTTTGAATCTCTGATGAACTATGTACTAGGTGAGACAATATGTTTTAAAGTTCTACATGATCATATTGATATGCCTACATTCAATACCATCTTGATTTCTCCATATATGTATAGTAGATATTTCAACACAGATTTTTTTGAATCGTGTCCCTGTTGCTGCTTACTTTTTAATTTGGTGCTATTATCTATTAATCGCAACTTAAATTACTTTTACAGACGACTTCATTGGGTGAGTCCTATAAAACTCGTATTGTTAAGGTCAATTAATTTTGTGTGTTAATTTTAAGATTTTTTTGGCCTTCCTGTATTGAAATATGTATGTGGTGACAAGGTAAACTTTATACTAGGCTTAATGGTGTGATGATTTTTTATGTTTCTTCGCTTATTAGACACTTGAGTCTGATTAGTGAAGCGACATCATTGAGTTTATTAGCAGGATTTATAAATCTACTAATTTTCCATAGGTCGTCTGCAATGCAGAATGCAGAAGAATGGTAAGAGAAGAAATATATTTACTTTTTGTGCAACATTTTGTAGTTTATATTCCAAAAGTCCCAATAAATGCTTATTGAGCTCCATCATGTCTTTTCTTTAGATCACCCCAATTTAATTCCAAAATCTCTTGATGGTAGTTACAAGATGACATTTAAATTTGAGGGTAGGGTTAAACCAATTCTTAGTATGTCCATTCAATTATATGAATAATCTAATATGTTTTTGGTTGAAGTTTTTGTCACATAATATCAGATAACTGAAAACAGGATAACAGTTATTTTATTTTATTGATTAGTTGCACTGTATACATTGAGATTTCCTGAAATGGAGAAAGAATGCACTTTCATGATGATCTTATTTCAAAATTCAGTTACCGTAACATCTGAAACTTATCCTGTGGTTTACATGTCGATAATTCCCCATGCATGCATAATTCAGCTTCTGTTTCTCGAGTTAATGTGTGCTTTTTTGATTATATAATCTTTTTGTATTGCAGGAACAGGTAGACCTAATTTTTAAGTAACTTGTACATTCAAAAATATGTTATGGTGAGTATTGCACGGTCCTTCAAACGTACAACTACAACCAGGTTTATATTGTGACCTCATATACAATTATTTTACAAATACAGGAATGCCAAAAATACTTGATGGTGCACCATTTGGTCGTTTCAAAAACATTCTCTTTTCCTAGGTATAATGACAGGTAACATCTTACTGTACAGAATGTTTCTTAAGTAAGTAGACACGGTTTTTGAAATTGTTCGTAAATAGACATTTGAAAACAACCATACAGATACTTCATTTTTTGATAAAATCCTCTAAACAAGTAGAATAGTTTTTACAATGCTAGGTTTTATTCAAATAATGGGATACTCTTACTAATGTAACATTTATGTGTTATGAAATTTTAAAAATGAACATTCTTGCATTTATAAGTCAGGTAAAACATTCGAGCATGCTGATATAATCCAGATACCTAATGTGATCGATGATTATAGTAAGTTCTCTGCAGTAAACATCGTTAGCCATATTGCACTTGGTGCTGTCCAAAAGGACAGCTCTTTTTCCTATATTTCATCTATCGACTTTCCAATTTTGAAATTCCACTATATATAAACAAAAATTTAGCTACGGTGAAGAGTGATCTTGCATATTGGCTCTCACTTGATGAATACTCTTAAAACACCTACTGTTCTTGCTAAAGTGTTTCCTCTAAATTTAACCAAAATCTTGTCTAGCTGCTTAAAAATTGCTCCGCATTAATTTTTCCATATAAGTGTTAAAGTAAAGGCAGAGTTTGATTTTCAGGAGGAGCCAGATTATGAATATTGTAGGAGATTATTCAGAAATGCTATTACCGCATATGGATACAAGAATGATTCTGTCTTGGACTTTGAAAACTTTGAAGGCTTTGGAAAGTTGAAACCCAAAGGCAAGAAGAAAATTCTAGTAGGCGGAAGAGAGAATAAAGGTACAAAAGTACACGCCAGTTTCCTGAAGAGCCCCCTTATGCCTTTGCATTCCAACGTGGTCTTCAAGCGACCTAAGTTGAGGAAGAAGAAGGCACTGTTTGAGGCCAAAGAGGCAAAGGAAACTTTGATGACCTGGTCCCAGATTTTGACTGATCCCGAAGAAATTCTGAAACAGGTGAACAATAATTGGGCTTATTTAGACATCCATATTTATAATGTCTGTTGTATTTTGACTTTTGTTTTACTTCACTCATCGACGGATGAGAGGGCCATTAAAATCATGGAAAATCTAGTTAGATATAATGTTTACTGCCGAAGATCAAAAGCTTCACAAATTTTGAAAATCGTCCAGTGACTGCATTGCAGCAAAAAGCAAAACAATACATAATGTCCTCAAACCCTTTTTTATTACTGTATGATTTTATAATTTCTGATACGTGTTTGGTTAATCACATCGATTTTCTTTCCAGGCTCGGGAGAAAAGAGTTGTGGAAGACTGTGATACGACATTTAATATGTCATTAGCCGAACTCAAGAGTTTGAATCCTACTTATGCTATGTTGGAGGTGTTTCACAAGACTAGAAATGGTGTTTCGCCAAAACATAAGGGTGATAGGTAAATATTTGTTTGTTCCCTGAAATCATTTTGTAGTTCTGACTATAGTATTCTCAATATTTTCCGTTATTTTGTAATTTTAATCCTTAACATATTTTCACGATCTTGCAGTGCGATGTTAGACCAAATATGTGGATACAATCAAGCCATGATGTCTGTTTACACTAGGATGATGGAAAGATTGGATATGGAATTTGAAATGGAAATGAATAACCATGATAACAACAATTACATTAGAACTAAGGAAGATCAGACTAGACGAAAGAAGAGAGCAAGAATTTCACCCGCTAGGATCGTTAAATCTAAGTCGCAGTGTTTAGGTGAGTCAACACCAAGCGATTAAATAAAAATAATTACTACATGAAATGAAAATTCAACATCCTGACAGAACAGATTTCAAACAGTTCGAATCAAAACCGTAGACGAGAATAACTCCCTCTATATTTACTAGTAGTAAAAATTATATCTAGTGAAATAATTATTTTGAAACTATGAGTTAATGTAAAGAGGTGTAGTATTTTGATGCTTAATGGCAGTAGCCATAGGATAGCTTTGTCACAGTTTGACATCAGTTTTCACTTAGCTGTCAGATTTGAGTAGTAGTAGTTTGTTGATCGAATTTTGTGAGTTGTTAAAGCTTTCCCATAGCTATTTCTATTCAACATAAAAGTACATACATATTTCCATTAGCTGAATGTACTCTATGTTTCAGATAGATGCTGCTTCTCTATGACAACTTATATCAGTATATACCAAAAGAACTTTGCAATTCAGACTCTGATTAATGCTTAAACAAAATAAAAATATATTTTTGCTTGATACATAACAATAAAAAAACATTGGTAGTATTTATAGAACAGAAAGATGTTGCTTTACCAGGATATTGGGTGTTTCCTACTTCACTGATGAGACTGAATAAGGGCAAAACATGAATATTGTTTAGATAATGGCAGTGTGAGATCGAATTGCTCCCATAATATACTACATATAATTTCCAATGTCAAACTTCACCAACTATATTTTGAAAATAGAATAGGTTGAAGTTTTTTATATACAGTAATGGACAAAAGTATATAGACAAATATGAATATTTACCTAAATACCTTTAGAAAACGAATTCATAATTTATTGCTTCATAAACAAATGTATTATTAGTAGAAAAACTAAATTCCTTGTTTTTACATTATCTGCAATGAACACAATACAAGTCTGAATATAAGCACTTTTTTATGAGCGACAAAAATATGTAGACAAATTCTTTTCGACATTAGTTAAGTACAGTTTCGTGTCAGAAGTATCAGTGGCGACGCGTGACTTTTCCAAAACTGTTACCAAAACCAGATGTGAAAAATCTTATTAAAAAAAGTTTATTTTGAACCTCCCAAATATAACTGTTTGCTTATTTTAGGTATTTTATTTAAACTGTTTTTAAATTAAGGTAAACATTCCTGGACTGAGCGTCTGGGGAACTTGATATACCTCATCGTCTTATGCTATGACTAATCCAAGCCGTCCGAAAAAACAGTCGACGTTTCTAGATGTTCGGAAAATTTTTGATCTTTTTGGCAATGAATCGTAACAATTCCCTGAAATTTCCTCTATTGTCAGCCATCCCCTTCAAAATGAACGGTAATTCCTGTTTTGCTAAAAAACATACGGTATCTAGAAGTGTGCTGCCTAAAAGCTTTTTCTTAAAAATTATACAAGGAGAATGACTTTTCAAGTAGATGATCGATTACGCAGCGACACTCATCCACGTTTAATTGCACGCACACTACAGCCAGTAACCAAAACGGCTACTAACGATTGAGAAGTGAGTAACCAAATCAAAAAATGGTAACAAGCCCACATAATAGTCGCAGGGCGACCGCGATCAGACACGAGCCGGTACCGACGGTCCCCGACAGACTACCTAGTGTATCCATAAATGAAAAGGATAACAACCGACAACCAAGTCAAGGCGAGTCAGCTTCATCGTGTTCGCAAAACCTAGACACTATAGGGCGCATTATTTTCGTGGGGCTAATTTGCTATTTACTGAATTACTGTTACATATTGCTGTTGGTAAACAAATAAATGAAATTATTTCACAGTACTTAGTCATAAAATATTTGTTTTTAAGATTTTTAACTGTTACCAATGGTAACAATGGTTACATGGACGCTTCAGAAATTTCTTTCGATGTGAAAACTAAGATTATTGAGTTATACAAAGATGGTCAACGTCAAGTCGACATCGCGAAAAATTTGAAGCTGAAGCGTAAAGCCGTTTGAGCAATAATGAACAGATATAAACAAAAAGGTATCTTGGAAGCCTCTAAGAGAAGTGGTCGGCCTAGAAAACTAAATGGTCGATCAGTTGGATTAATAAAAGTAATTTCGTCCAAAAATCCGTTTAAAACCCAAATACAAATAAAAACCGAAATCCAGGCAAAAGGAATTGTCAGTGTTTCTACGAAAACTATAAGTAGAAGATTAAATGATTTGAAGTTATTTGCACGTCACCCGATTAAGAAGCCGCTAATCTCGAGTAAAAACCGTAAGGACCGATTACAATTTGCACGGTTGCATCTTGATTGGAGCATCTGTGACTGGAAGAGGGTATGTTTCAGTGTCGAATTCGAAGTTCAATATGTTTGGATCAGATGGTGTTCATTACGTTAGACGTCCTAGTGGACAAAGATTGAACCCCAAGTACACTTTGCCCACTGTCAAACATGGAGGCGGGTCTGTTATGATTTAGGGGTGCTTTTCGGGGTTAGGGATGGGACCTTTACATATAATAGATGGCATTATGGATAAGTTTGTATACACAGACATACTAAAGCAGGTTATGTTACCCTATATGGAAGACAATATGCCCTTAAGATCAATCTTCCAGCAAGATAATGATCCGAAGCACACTTCAAATCTCGCAAAAAATTCTTTCTGGATGAAAAAATACCAGTTCCAAATGGCCTTCACAGTCTCCCTATATAAATCCCATTGAAAATCTATGGGAATACTTAGATAAGCAAATACGAGATAAAAATTATTCAAACAAGGATGAACTTTTTGCTGCTTTAGAGCAAAAGTGGAATCTTATATCAAGAAACTTCAACAATCTATGCCGAGACGATGCCAGGCGGTGATTGATAATAATGGTTATGCTACAAAATATTAACACAAACATGGTTGGTTTTCTATAATTCAGTAAACTTTGCTCATCTTTTCTATAATTGTTTTGCTTTGTCTATATAGTTTTGTCCTTCATAGTTCCAGTTTTTTTCAATTAATTTTTTATTGAAGGGTGTCTAATAAATTTATTTATGTATAAGTGAGTATTATGCTATAACGAATTATGTATACAGGTTGGTGTATTAATAAATCAAGTTCAATAAGAAATTCAGCACAATATTAATTTGTCTATATACTTTTGCCCATTACTGTATATACTTCATATATTCTAACCAGAAAAATCTCAAGAGTCATGCAACATTCGAAAATGCAATAGGTGTTTCAAAACAGTCTTATAAAATATTTTTTCTTCTAATGGTGTCAAAAATTTTAAATTTCAACGCCACTGGTATAAGCTATATGTATAGGCTATGGTGTACCAAATTTTAAGTTAGAATCTTAGAACACTCTAAAGAATTAATATTTTTTGATTTTTGAATTGTAACTTCATCACACCCTGTATCTTGGTATGAACTTTTCTGTTATGTTTTTGATCTACTTTACGTCCTAGAAACACTGCCTCTGTTTTCTGAATCACCTTGTATAGTTTATTCTTATTGCATAATGCTAATATTTGCAGCAATACGCAAGGCAAAGGACCACATCCAGTTGAAAAAATCGAGAAGTGCGCCACTGCGAAGGACATATAGTCTAAGAGGCTAGTTGAGTAGCTTCCCATAATTGAGGAGGTAACATTCAAAGCATGATTTTTCTGTCGGATATGGAACAAAAGCACATTTATTATATTGACGAAATCGGTATTCCATTGTGAATCCATTAAATGATGGAAGATAAAACTGGATGTCCTAAATGGAACTATTAAAATTCCACAGATAAATGACTCTTGTCTCTCTTGATTTTCAGTATTGAAAAATGGAGAAAACGCCTTATGCATGGACTATGTGGAGAAAACACGATTTGAATTGAAAACAAGTTAAAATGTAACAATCAGATAGTGTTTTAACCATACAATATTGTTTAGTTTACAAAGTATCGTTTAATTTATAAACAATACAGACTAAAGTATTTTACAAATTACTTTATTTCAACATTACAGCTGGGAAACACAAATTCAAATTCTGATGCAATTTTCTTGATTCAAACAGCGCAGGCATTCTCATCAGCTATCCCTTCGGCAATGACTGGAGTATTGAAAAGTACTTTGCACGAATTAAAGCAGTTGTCGCCTAGATTTTGCCAGTTTCCAAAAACATCATTCTTCTTTTTGACATAACATAGTATTGGTGAATGACTTTTTGTTCATAGATGAAGTTCTCCATTGCCTTAACTCTGACTGCATGCTTACCATGAACCTCACTGACTGAAAAATATCCTCTTTATGTTGCTTATATTTCTTAGGTCCTTGTAGAACTTCTTTAAATCCTTTGTGTTTTTGAGTTTCTGTACCAGATCTTTATAAAGGTCCAAAGATCCATCCACAGGAAGAAACGAATGCCCACAAGTTGTAAAGTGCATTATGAATCTCTTTAATTGCTGATGTCATCTGTGTTTGCATAAAGTAGAGTATGTGTCACAATATTGTTCTTATTCTGAGCGCTGCACCCTTCACTGAACAATCTTAAAATACTGTATGTTTGAAAATCAGTATTGTGAAGAAAATGTAACAATGCAGATTAAATTTCTGTACTTCCCTTCCCGGCTTGTTCCTCAGTCCAGCAGTAAAATTTTGGGTTCAGTCCTTTTACATCAACTATTCAGACATTATAAAATCCAATTTGTAGTATGCTTCCTGCACGGGTGTTTTTGGTAGAGGCTGGATTTGTTGCAAGTCAAAACAGTAGCTCACAGAATCATCTACGTTCTGTCTCATGAGCTGATAAAATGCATTTGCTTCTTATGAATTCTTTTTTCTATAATAAAATGGCTTCTTTCCTTGGATCCCGCAGGAAACGTTCTAATGTTGTGCCAAATATATTCGTTTAGGTTTATCTCTCCTATAGTGACTTTCACTCCCTCGAAGTTTTCCAATAAACTGTTACACACTCTTTTCTCGGCTCAAATGGCTCTTCCTATCTCCTCCTCTATTCTCTCTCAGCATTTTATCATGGAACTGTTTCTTTGCAATGTTTTCCAATCTACTGCAGCGTATCTTTGTAGCTTCTAGAAAAAACTTCTTACAAACTCTCTGAGAGTTAACACTTAAGAAGTATTTAACTATGTATAAATGATTCGAAACGGCCTTCTTGTTAGGTTTTTCTCGGGGCCTTCTACGCTTCACTCCTTGAGTCTGCATCAAAGACAACTTTTTTCGAATTTCTACGACGTGATTTGATGATTTGAACAATAAAAGACCTTTGTGTTGTGCCCACAAGGGTTGATCACATTCTAGTTGCGGAGTCTTGAATATCTCGCTCATTTCGCGGTAACCCTTTTTCCATCAGTACTATTACTCACTTGTACTTCAACAGTATCTGTATCGTCTAAATTTTCCATTTTCAAACTGCGAATACCCTATTTCACGAGTATCCATCACGCTTTGACGTCTACTGAGGTGAACAGCTGATCAGCAAGTGACATTTTTTGTGTTAGTCTGCGACGTTGGCAATAATGAATCGGGTGTAAACGTAGTAAAACTTGTTTGTAGCGTTTTGTTTTCTGTATGCAAATGAACTTTTCTAAATAAAAGAGCTTTTAGTAAGTACAAAATAAATCTGTAGCGTACAAAAAATAAAAAAAAAATGGCTCTCTCTACGTGGCATTGACGGATCCGTCAGAATTATCTGTCATGTGCTGATGGATACTCGTGAAATAGGGTGTACTTAATTGAACAAGAGAAAAATAACATAACCTCAACATGTAACGGCCGTATGATGAGTAATCCATTCAAAACGTGTATTATCTCAAATATGTCAAACGTTAAAATGGCGTCCGCTCATCTGTGATTGGTTGTTCGGACAAAACATTTTATGACTGATTCCTGACTGAGGACAGGACACGTTTAGTTTTTAGCAGCATTGTAGCTCGAAGAAAATATATAGGAGAGATCTCTCTTTGAATGTCTTTGTCTGCTAGAAACGTGGTCCGTACATAAAGAAAAGTGGAACTGTTAACCCATTTTTTCTCTTATGTGACAAAACACGTTTTGAAAGTTACCTCCTCAATTGTACTGTTTTGTAAAACATCTAATATGCGTTCTTTCCAAGAGTATTAATTTCTATCAATATATAAAAAATTTGAGACTGCTCTGTAAATTACGATTTGTACATTTATGTTTTTAATTTCAATTTGTTTGTTTCCAGTGATTTTTATATTTTGGGCTAATTGACCCAGGTCTTCCAGTAGCAGTAGCCAGTTTGTCAATATACTCATATAATTTAGTTGATGCTTCCTAAACAGCACTTCAGTTGTTTCATTCAGACACCTGTTTCAATGATTAGCCAGGATGATACAAAATGTTACTTTACTACTTGAACCATTTACGATATTAAAGTAGATGTAATGGTAAACTGGCAACTTACAGATTGAGAGCTATTTTTGTTGAAGACACATGATTTTATAACAGATATTATATTCTCCGAATTCTGAATGCAAATGCCCTACACGTGACTGAAGATAATAAGCTTTTATTACACAGGTCCACGGAATAGAAACGAGGAGGACTCTGAGCTTATCCACCAAAAATTCCAAAATTTTTAATTCTGATGTCTAAATTACTTTCACTTCTCTATCTTCCCACAATTTTGACTTCAGATGCGGAGGATTGAGAGGGAAAAAGAGATGGAAAAATGAGACCCCCAGCACACACCACTTTTTATTTTCTGAGAATCTTTTTTATGCGTTTTGTTTAACACTCTGACTGCCGGCATACTATTTTATTCTTGTTTTATTTTGTGCTGTCACTCTATGACTGACATACTGTTAGGCATTATTTGGCGGCGTCAGTCATTTATGTCTTACAGCACCAGAATCATACATGGCCTCGTCAGGCTGTTTAGACTGACATTATATTGAATTGTTAAACTCCATTTGGATCACGGCGCTTGATTTTGTGAGTCTAAAAAACCTGGCGGCGCCTAAATAAAATTCCAGGTATTGTAAATTAACCAAACATTTTTATTTCAAACTTATTGTATTAGCAAGAAAAAACAAGCATTTTTATTTCAAACTCATTGTACTAACAAGAAAAAATAGATAACTTAGACACTATGATTTTTAATATGGCATTCTTGACACATCGCAGGTTTCCTATTGCATCCATCGCAATATATTCGTACTTTTCTTACTTTTTTTCTTGCTTCTGTTCTTGATATTTCTTTTGTTAGATTGATATAGCAATTTACATTGTTTTCGAGTTTTCTCCTATGATTTTTTCAATAAATGTGCAACTTTTACAGTTGTTAGGCTGGTTATACTAGCATTATTTCAAAATAAGAAAGTGCTGGCCACATCTTCTCTAAACTTATATATGTTTGATTTAGATTTGGAATGTTCTTTGTATATATTGAATGTATTTACCATCGACATGCCCGTCAGCAACCCAAAAAATACCTTTCGGTACCATTTGACGCCTCGTCGATTGCATGTACTGTATCACGCCATTTGGTTGGACTTGTCAATACCACACTTGCCATTATTATAAGCAATAATTGCGTCTGGTTTTAATGTTGACGTTTTGTCTGTTTCTTTTTTCTTTTTTGGAGTGGGCTCCTCGTTACTGCAGCTTGGAGAAAATGCTCTCTTTCGTTTACTTGAAGGTGGCGGAACTCTCATGCCAATTCCGTGAACTGTAGATAACATAAGTACATCCTTAGCGTCTTTCCATTTGGAAACGACCATCCCATAATTAGTTTCTCGCGCAATGTACTCATGTTTTTTGAGATTCTTGGTCGTGATATCTTTTGGGAGGTATTTTCTGGACCGCCTAAGCGTACCTACTAGATGTGTACTTTTCGTAAGAAGAATTGTGGCTAATGGACAACGAGTATGAAAGTTGTCAGTATACAGAATTTTTCCTTCATTCAAAAATCCTTCAGTCAAGGTCAATACGACAGATTCACCAATCCCAAGTCCAGCAGGACGCTGTTCTTCACTACGGCCAGTAAAAATTAGACATTTCCATGTATAACCATTTGGACTGCATAATTTAAAAAGTTTTACCCCGTATTTGTGACTCTTGGATGGTATGTACTGGCGAAATTTCAGTCTGCCTCTCCATGGTATCATGCTTTCATCTATTACCGTATAACTGTATAAGTCTGCTGAAAAGAGTTATTCAACATATCAAGAACAGGTCTGATCTTGTAGAGTCTATCATTGTTATTCTCGTGTTCCCTGCTGCTAAAATGAATCATCCTCAAAAGCATTTCGAAGCGATTTCTTGATAATACCTGAGATACTTGATTTTTATACAATACATCGGTGGACCAATATGATGCAAGAGTAGGTCGACTATTTAGATCCATCCAAATATATAAACCAACAAATTTCTGAATTTCCAGTTCATTTGTAGGGTTCCATTGATTTAGTCTTGATTTCCGAGTTAGTTTTGTATTTGAAATTGTAAATTCCGCATAGCGTTTGTTTCTTCCACTATGAGAGCTATTAGATCAGACGAAAAAAATAGTTGAAATGCATTGAGGGGAGTAAAATTGTCTGCTACATCTACTTGAATACCTTCATTACCGGTGAATTGAAATGTTTGATGATTCCCAGAGTAGTCGTACCAAACAAAATCATACGTTAGTTATTGAGGCAACAGTGATGTTCACAAAACTGAAAAAATATCTTGTACTTCCACGCCGTGTCAGGAGATTCTGGAAACACCAACAAACGTGACGTATACGAGCTCAGTGCTAAATAAACACTGAATATGCATCATCCGACGTATAATCGTATCCCCACCATCCAAAACAACGCGCGGCGTGGCGGCAGTCGAATGCACGAAATGACCACGGCGCAAGTTGTGTTTTTGTTGTCAGTCGAAAAAGACTGACATGGCAGTCATATTGTTAAAATTGGTCCACCGTCCCCAAATTTTGAATGTTTACCCGTTTAACGGGAAAAAATACATGAAAAAAACATAGAGCACAAATCTCTTTTTTATTTTGTGGGCCTGTGTAATTGGCAGGAGGACAAACCACTTATGCTTTTGAATGGGAAAAATTTTACGTAAATAAGTCACCAGCGTGTCTCACACAAAAAGTATCTGAGGCAAAAAATCTTCTTTTTGTTAAACTGCGCCTGCTCAGATGTCAAATCCGGCCAGGAATTATTAGTACCTGACTTTATTGAACATTCAATAATTCCCTAATCTGACAGTTTTCTTGGTCTTTTTAGCGATGTTTTGGGTTATCTGCATAAAGAGTATTTGTGCAGTTTTTGGCAACCTCGTCAATATGTGAGAATCTGTTTGGAGATAGCCCTAACTTTTATTAGGCTTACTTCAATTAAACGTCAAATCGTGTTGAACTATATGAAAAAATGGATCTACAACCTGGGTACTGTTATTCAGGCGGGAATATAATTTATTCTAGGAATGTATGTTATCTAGTGAATACTGGTTTCTTAAGTCATTGTTAAATTTTTGATTGCAGTGTATATAGTCAGTGCAAAATTAATGGTTTTATTCAGAATATGCAGCATAAATTCTATTATTCTGCATAAAGTTTGGGAACTGAGCATCCTCCATATTTGACCATTTGAATTTTACAGAAATATATTACCATGTATTTTAGATCAAGAATTTGAATAAAGTAAGACAAAGTTAGTCTAAATAGTTGAAGAATGTAATGCATTATTTTGACATTTCATATAAAACCTTATTTAGAAAAACTTACACTACTTATACAATGATCTGGATAATGGTCATCTCTTTGCTATTATATAGGACCTTTCAATTAAAACTTTTAGCCAAAAAACTCTTCTACATACTGTATATATCTTATATAGCAAAGTTGTAAAAGAATCATGATTATAAGCAATATTATGCATTGTTATTCATTATGCAGGATGTATAATTTATTGTATTTAGTTCTCTTCCTACAACAGTCGATGTATAGGTATTGTGCTGTGATTTATTTTTGTATAATAAAATCCTAATTTGAAGTAGTGTTTTATTTTATCCGTAATTTTTTTTTCTACAAGACAAACAATATATGTCAACCTACTGCGAAATAACTAATGCGTAATCTGAGGTGTTTTACAATGCAGAATGCAACAACACCTACAATGCCTGCTAGATTTCTGGTAACCTTCAAAGAAAAAAATGATTTTTACACTTATATGAGGTCCCGTGGCACAGTCGAAAGCTGTACGAGGTTAGTCCAGTCCATATTTAGTTTGTGAAGTAAGCCATTATTGGGCGAGCAATTTTATAGCATGAAACACGTAGTGCCGTGCGAGGTATGTGTAGAATTCTGTTCACTACTAACGCTCTATATCACAAAAATAATCGATTTTACGTGACGATGATAAAGTTACCATTTTACAAATACCATAAAATATCTAGTTTCCTGGTGTCAAACTCAAATTAATGTATGTGACAGACGCGTTTCGACATTGGCCCTACAAGAGAAGTGAGGTACAAATGTTTTACTTCAGCTAAAATTGCAAGCCGTTTTCTTAAATATTAAGCTGATGTCTATCTATTTCACGAGTATCCATCACGCTTTGACGTCTACTGAGGTGAACAGCTGATCAATTAGTGACATTTTTGTGTTAGTCTGTACCGTTGGCAATAATGAATCGGGGTAAATCTTGTAAAACTTGTTTGTAGCGTTATGTTTTTTGTAAGCAAATTAACTTTTCTAAACTATAATCACAAAACACATAAGACTAGGTAGATAACAAGAGGAAATATACTCAACATCAATTATTTCTCAATCGCTTTCAAATACTTTGAAATATAACATTCAGTTATCAAACTTATACAGTTTTGTTTTCATTATTTACCTATGAAGGGAAATGTAACTTGACAATAGGGGCATTGCCACTGGTATTGCTGTCAATAATGGCGATTTTGCGGGGATGGTAGTGCAAATCTATTTTCTAATCCACGGAAATCTATTCAATGGTTTTATCAATCACCACACGTTTTTAAATATTCTTTTTTGAATCGATTATAAGGGCGAGTCGATGGAATGGGTCCACAACCGTACAGATTAGGGATGTTCGATACGATCCGATATTTAGAAGTATCGATACTTTTGCTTCCGATACACGATATTTTGGATCGATATTTTTATATACGATACTTGGGTGTATCGATTTTTATTTGAATGGGGAAGATTTTGGCGATATTTTTTGACTGGGGAGGTAGTATGTAAAATTTTATTTCATTATAAAATTGCCTGTTTAAAAAATTGAAAATCTGACTCTGCCGAGGGGCTTTCAAAACGTTTTGGAAGCATAATACAGATTAAACTTTTAGCTGTCTCAAATATCCTGGACCCTTGTTCTAAATGATTGCACTTTAATAGTCAAATTTCGTGTGCAAATATGCACTCACTTTCCTAAACCATTTTAATTGCGCAAGAAGGAAATAAATACTGAAAAAGCAGGCCAAAATCATATTAATATTGTTGAAAAATCTGAGAGTGTTTGAACCTACCATGAAAAACAATACTATACTAAATCAGATACTGCTCTTGAGCTACAATTGTATTTAAATAGTCATACCATACCCCAAAATTCGAATCCTTTTTTGTACTGGAATAGCTCCAGTTCTTCCTCGGAGATATTTAAAGAACTATTTAATAAATATATCTCTAATGTTGGCACAACAGTTCGCTCAGAGAGATCCTTTTCTGAAGCTGGAAATATACTCTGCCAAAGCCGAAACAGATTATCTGTTGAACGAATGTCAGAGCTATTATTTTTACATACGCTGGGTGCTGAAGACTGGAATTTCTAAGATTTTGAACTTTGAGTTATTTGTAATATTGTTTTTAATACCTTTTGCTTTATATATTTTATGTTTAATAAGCATATCTGTAATATGTAGTATAGATTTGTTTCTTGTTTCGTTTAAATGTTAAATAAATAATGATTCTTTTTCTAATGAATTTCCTAGTTATTTTTTACCTATTTTTATTAGTGAACGTTTTTGACAATCTAGTCATGTACTTGAAAAAAGTAAACATTATTTTGAGGGTTGTAGAAAAAACTTCGATTTTCGGCAGAGTGTGTTCCGTATCGAAAGGTTTCGATACTTGTAGTATCGATATTTTTATTCCGATGTTTTAGAGTATCAAGACTTCCTAAAACTATACGAATCGATACATGGTATCGACACTTTTAGTGGATCGGAACATCCCTAGTAGAGATGGGTTTCAAAACGTCCAGAATATTCATATTTTTGCGCCATCTATGGACACACTCACTAATTACTGCTCAAGTTTACAGCTGATGAAGATTATGGAACCAAGTGAGACGATTTTCGGCTATTGTGAGCAAAAGTTGGATAGATAAAAATAATGGCAGCGATACAGGATCGTGAGAGTGAATTTCAAGTAATAATCATAGAGCCGTTTTATGGGGGATCCCACAAGACATTTGTCGACACATTTGCTTGTAGTAAGATAATTTTTATACCTATCTCTTTTTTCTATTCAAATCAGTTTTTTTAAGGAATCGTACGGTTTTTGTTTTTAATATCCCAATCTGTAAGCAGTCTCTGACAGTGCCTATAAATCGACTATTATTTGCTAACTATAATCAATTTATACGTGGTGGTGACATAGGCAACCATACATACAGCAGTTTATAAAATGGATTGCATAATATGTGTCATGGCAGAGCAAGCATTCTACAATCTGCATTATCAAAATGCTTATAGCAGCTTATATTGGTTCATCGATATTTTTAGAAAATTCTTGTAATACTCGAATGTTATCCGTAAGTTTCAAGACTTATCCTGTGGTTTTCAAGCGGATAAATTTCGATGTTTCGTTGAACGCAAAATAAAACCACACCACATACAATTTCGATTATTCTGTAGTTACGCGATTTGAGCAATTGTTGATTGCAGTATCACGACGATATGAGGCTTTATTTGGCGACTAGTAAAACATAAAAACTTTAATTTAGGTTTGCCCATCACCAATCAGCCCAAATGCATTCAATTCAAATTTGAAATAGGTTTTTTTAGTATGATTTTGGCTGATAATCAACAAAATTTTTCCAATTGACTAAAATACATGTAATAGTTCTGTTCACGGTTTTTGTACGTTGTACGACTATTGGTTCCATGTACGTAGCCTAACTTCCACCCACCTTATAAGCCAATCGGTACCGCAGGTGCTACTCGCGGCTTGCACACACATGAATTAGGTGATAGAGGACGGTTGTTTCCACCCACTTTCTGAAGATACTTCTATAAGTTTAATACATACGGCTTACATTGTAGTTGCATCTTCAGGCAGTCAAGTCACGTCAAGTGAAAACTGCTGTAAAATGAAAAAATCTGTCCCATGGCTACTGCTATTTAGTATAAAGGCGCTCCACTGCCGGACCGACTTACGTTGGCTGAACGCGCCCATTACTATTTGTGATATCGAAGATCGACACAAGTAAATACAAATCACACGTACATGAGAAGCAAATTGTCATGCTAACGCTGACAAGCATAAATCTGGAAAACTTACGTTGATGAGAAAATGTTCAAGCCGTTGAGACAAAACTAAAAATGCATGTCTTTGAGTTTACACAAACGTCCGCGCATAGAAGCCAATTGCATCTCATGTGTGAGGGGGATAGATATGTGAAAATAATTTTTGTACTCGTAGTTTTAACGTGACTCACCAAAAACCGTGTAAAGACCCATACGTTTATTGCTCCAAGCATATTGATATTCACGTTACCATGGAGGTATCATATACTACCATGTATCCTCTAAGGGCAAATGGAACATTTCCTACCAAAGCTAATATCGATTCGGTAATCAATTATTTATTTTCAATACTAAAAGACATTTTATTGCAGATTTGGAGGAAAATGGAACAAAATACAACATAGTCACTCTTCCAGCTAAAAAATGGCACTGGCGAGCGCGATGTAGCGCTTTACAGCTTTATTCGAAAATTGAACATGTTGAACTAAAATCGAAAGGTCTGCTTTGGTGCAGTTCAGTTTTAAATCTAGCCGAACTATTAGGACTTCGTCCCGATTTTGGCAAGTGTAGAAAAATTGTCTATTTTCACGAAAATCAATTGATATATCCTATCCAGCAGATCAAGAAGAGAGATATCCAGTATGCTCTAAATGAAATCACCACATGGTAAAATATTGTTCAAATATTACGATTGCAGTACTGTTTTTGTATATTATTCTTATATAAGTGCAAGAGGTGGGGTTGGTAGTCTGGAGAGCTAAGCTTAATAAGTCATTAACGATTTTGGATTGTTTTGGCGTGGTGGCTTGAAGAAACGAACCGCTATCTAAAAGACCAGCTTATCAATTTAAATCTGTAAACAGACAACGATCCACAGGTGTGAGTGATTCTGAAGGTCAACTGATGGAAGATCGGAAACTGAAAAAGACCCATGATTGTTGGATTTTTCGTTCTCCAGTAAGAATAGCATACTCTTCAATGTGAGTGGGCTGTTGATGATTTGTCAAGTGGTTGCTCTACTTTGTGACATGCTTACTAAACAGTAGGCTTCAGAATTGATGTTCTTAACGGTGTGGTCCGACACCTACTGACCATTTTCTATCAATCACTAGTCTGTATCAAGGACACTAAACATAGGATTTTGATTGACCAGGTGTCATTTTTACGTCTAGTATTATTATCTTTTCCAGTTTAGCAAGTGATTTGGTCCTCTTCAACTCAGAATTCAATAGAACTTCTTTTTTGGACAACATCAGCAAAATAATAAAGATGATCCCAGATAACAGACCAAAAAATGTCAGAGACATTATCGAAATGAAAAGTAGAGTTATGTATTTTCCAGTAATGTTCCCAAAATTAGTTCCAACAACTGCTACCAAACCTGTTGTATTACAGATAGTGTGGCCACATAGATGGGAGTTTGATAAAGGTAAGAATCGCTTATTTGTCTACATGAAAAGTTTGCGTTTGTCAAGAAGCGATTGCATGTAATACCTTTGCCGCTCTGGAGCGATAAGTAACTGAAACGCTACCAGTCTCATATTTCTTGGCAGTGTCGTTTCGCTTCGCATTTAAAATGTGTTTTTCGGGAGAAAACGCGCTCATAATAAATAGCTATTTTGTATTATACTGGATTCAATGTTTTCATAACATGAATTTCTTCTGACGCAACTGGTGATCAAGATCGCGAAAAACATTTAAAATGAGGTATGTTCTTTGGATGTTATATGACGTACACTACTTAAAAAAATTAAAGGAATAAGAAAAGAATACAAATTTTTCAGTAATCTTTGGCAGGCAGTGAAAAGACATTTTGAAGTTCTAAGGTTCTACTTTTCAGGCTTTTTAGACGAAACATTTTAGGAGCAACGGTTATCATGCAATTCAAATAGATAGCGCAAGAAAAATATTTTGCAATTTTTTTTACTCCTTTTTAGTCCACGGGCTTGAAAACATTTTTTTCTGTTAGGTCATCATGTGTATTCGATAACCCATTTATTCGGCTTCAATATTCTGTTTTAAAATCTCGGTACGATCATTTGGCGCGGAGATATCTGACTTTGAATGAAGAAAGGTGCTTTTGTCATCGACCTTTGATACCTCGGTAACCAGCGATCGCACAGAGAATGTAATTGTATTTGCAAAAATTGAAATAAACACTCAATAAAATTTGATTGTAATCTTTGGGGAATTGTTGTTTTTGGTTTACTTAGTATTGATTTTAAGAAAAGTTACTTTTTTCCGTGTTTTGGAAAATCTACCGCATTTTTGGAACTATTAATGAGAAGGCTAATGTTTTTAGTTTTTTTCATACTTCAAAGTACCCCTAATAACCCTGCACGACGGCAGATCGATGCATACGGTTTCTCAGAATCGATTGGTCAAAATTTGAAAGAAATCAAAGGGACATTTTTTTATGAACATCATGTACTCTGGTTGTAAATGGAAAAATCATTTTTCTTCTTTTGTTGTTACTATTGGATAACTGTAACATCTTCAATTTAAAAAAAAAGCAATTGGAAAAATTTAAAGATTTTTTTCAGTTTTCGGTAATACATCCTTTTTCTGAACTTGAATAAACGGGCTACCCATATGATGGCCTAACAGAAAAAAATTCAAGCCGGAGGACTAAAATGAAGACAAAAATTTTGCAATTTTTTTCCTGTAAATCTGTAAAAATTATCCGGCTAAAAAGTTTTAAAACTAAAATCTTGATTCAAAATATAAAGTCTAGATACGACTACTTTCACCGAAATCCTCAAAAATCACCGAAAAAATTGGATGTGTTTCTTGCTCCCTTATTTTTTTTTGAGTAGTGTATATATCACAAAAGATCAACTGACTTCGGTTGATTTGTCTGTTGGCCCGTATCTTTCTGTCTGCTAATCCTTGACTTGATCCAGTAGCAGCGGAGCTAGTGGCAAAAAATGCTATCTTGGTATAGTGCAGGGTCGTTCAGCTTGTTATCGCAACACACTGTATAATAGCGATGAAAAAAACGAATGAACTGTCACCTGAAAGACAGAAAAATATAAAATATTGTGACGATAATAAATAGTACTGTTGGCGCCATCTGTTGGGAGACTCTCCTACTCGCCAGAGATTCATGGTCGATCTCAGTTGGGGACCGTGCCAGTCTCCTTCGGTGGCGACATCTGTTGAGGACCATACCAGTGACTCGCCTTCTGGATCGACGCGAAGTGACCTCGAATATTTTAGATGCCGCTTTGTGGTTCGCCAGACCTTGCTCGAATCAGCGATGGGGAGTATATATAACTCGTCAGTAGAGTAGAGCAGTCAATGGCGCGACATAAATAGTGGTGTACATAAATGTTCTAGCTAGTCAAGATAAATAAATTAGTGCATTTTTTTGTGTAATCCAGTGTTTTAATCCACTCCCGAAAGAACCCAGAAAAACGCTACAATATATTTTCATTGTTATTTGTACTTTGAAAAAAGTCACCGTGGTGGCCGAAACGTCAGTAGTCAGTTTAGAGGCCAGATGATTATAGAGTCTTATTAGTACGCAAACCAGAGGAAGAGTGCACGAGCTCATTACTATCACATATATTGAGCATGATATTTACTTCTGTGACTTTCGCAATACCATCAGCTACTCAGAAAGACCCGAAATCTTTTACCTGCGGAAGGTCCGATCAGAATTCAGCAACACTGATCCTGTCCCAGGCCATAGCGTTCTCGAGGCCGTCGACCATATATAGTCACAATTATCAAAAATGCAATTACATTCTTTCTATAACACCGCCAGCTGTAAGGATTTCCATTGTCGGTCATTAGTAAATATACCTGAACATTCACATAGTGCATATTATAAAACCATAATTCTTTTTTTTTTAATCGATAATACTGCTTTTTACTGGTGCTCATTGTACGACCTTATGTCAGGGTACAAGGTTTTTATAGCCATGCAGTAATAAAGATTTCAGAGCGTGCCAAAGTTGACATATTTATTTTATTAACGTATTTCACCTAGATGGAATGCGTTAATCAATGCTTATATTATAGAAACCATAGTTACTGTATATTCAGTCCGTTCGTTCAGCATTGCATGCACAGTATAGCGTCAATCTATACTTATTGACGCCATTTTTTTAAAATGTATTTATCAGATGAATTTATTTCTCGTGATTGTTATTTTAGACCCGAATGAATTCTTTGAAGTGATGATGGAGTTGAAAAAAGGTAATATGGACTTCCGAATATCAGTTTTGGGAGAGCAGTTCACCGATGTTCCACAAGTCTTTGAACAAATGAAGTCTGATAGTGATCTGAAAGATAGATTCACACACTTTGGCTACGTGGAAAGTAAAGATGACTATTATAAAATTCTCAGAAACAGTCATGTGGCAGTTTCGACGGCGAAACATGAGTTTTTTGGCGTTTCAATGTAAGTGATGCCAGCCTGCTCACATTTTAACTAATCACATCTGAACTAAGCTATTCTGTTTTTAAAAAGTGTATGGTGACTAAATGATTAGTAGTAAACAAAAAGAAACTGCAATTATCAAAACATCTATGGAATTCCTTTTTGACGATTTTGAGCTACTAGGTATTTGTATAGCTATTTTTAACATTTTGGTAACTCCAGATGGGTCTGTTTCTTTTCCAATTCCAGTAACTGCCCCTCTTTTGATCGATCAAAATTTTGATATCGGATATCAGTATTAAAGCTTTTTGTACAGTTAAAGATTTTATTTTATTCATTGTGTGTTATTGTCTTCTCTTTGAATCGTACGTATTATGTTTTTTGTTCTAATCGTACGCATTATGTCATATTTATTAATTCTTCTTTTACTATTATTCTTCTTTTTCCTTTTCTTTTTCAGTTTTTCATTTTATTTTTAAGGTAGTAATAAGCATTGACATGACATTTATGGTTAAGTATAAATGGCCATTGGCCAGACTTCGCCATTTGTAAGGATACATAATTATGTATGTGTTACAATAAAGTCCATTGAATTGAATTGAATTGAAATTTCAGGTTGGAGGCAACATACTGTGGATGTTTACCATTGCTACCAAACAGACTTGTCTACCCAGAAATCTATCCGGGAGGCTGCCTTTATAATGACAGAAAAGAACTGATTGGCAAACTGAAAGCATACTGTGAATGCCCACAAAAAGCAGTAGATGATAGACAGAATTTATGTATCGATTTCGAAAAATATAGCGCTGAAGCGTTGTCATCAAAGTATTTGGAAATATTGAATGAATAAATGTATGTTTTTATTACAAATGTTTATTATCCTAAACTACAATTCATATAGTTAAAAATTGAGGTACACTTGTTTAAAAATATATAAAAGTCACATTTAATCAGTATTATTAGACATTTTGGCATACAATGCAGTATCGAACATTACAAATAACCCTGAATATTTGTACATCATCCTTTTTACGTTATTTTGTGCTTATGTACAGAAACATACATTCTTATTGACATTTTTATTTTGAAATAAAAAGATAAAATGTCTTAGTAAAACATAGGAACCAGCCATGCTTGGTCATGCAACTAGGCGTATTCTTTAATTCACCGGTTGAGCCACCGGTGCAAGCAATTAACCAATTTTTCTTCTTTTAATTTCCGTCTGAGCGACCGGTTGTACACCAAACTTGTCTATAAACTTGTCTATATAGTTTATAGACAAGTTTGGTGTACAACCGGTCGCTCAGACGGAAATTTTGGTTGCACCGGTGGCTCAACCGGTGAATTAAAAAATACGCCTACTTTTACATAAATCTCAATCGTGTGCCTATATTAAGGTGGGAATAGATTCCTGTCACGTGATATTTTGCTTGGAGACTCTTTCATACGCACACTTTGAATTTAATTTTTATTCTTAAGTGTTATTCTACCTTGCCACAGAAAACACTAGACCCATACACTAGACATAATGGCACGTCAAACCTTAAAATATAAATCAAATTCAAGCGGATAACCAAATGGAAATGGTATTTACCATTTTGGGTTGGTATTTACCAATCCGTCAAGCGAGTGTAGCTATCAGCTATCATATGGTTATAAGATCCGTGAAGTCACGAATCAGCTGTTATATGTCATAGTTATCACCGCAAAATTGTGGTATTTACCAAACTCAAGAGTAGTTTTATATTTCTGGTTATTATTTGAAATGTGACAAGTTAGAATTTTGCCGGTTATTGGATTTTGTTATTGTACTTCAACTTCATTTTTGAGAAAAATGATACAGGCTGACTTCAGTTTTACCATAAAGTGGAGCACCTTATTAGTTATACTCATTACGGTTGTTGGGGAAACTTTAAATGTAGTTCCTATGCTTAACAAAGTATCATGTGTAGCCATATACCACAAGAATATTAAAATATGGCCATATAAACTCACTAGATGATATCCACCTGTATATGGTTTTGCTAATTTCTTTTTTCATCATTTCTGCTGAATCAATAAATGTTTTCTTTGACATGCGGAAAAATTTAGAGAATTGAAAGTTATCATAGCTACAAAGCCATGGTTCCATCATTAAAAAAAAAATCTGAAAAAACGTTTCTCCCATGAATATTATGAAAGGTTTCTTATTTAAACTTTCCATATGCAGTCGTAGACGAAAAAGCACCGATTATTAAGTGATAATAAAAATAATCAGAGATTATATACGCGCTTTTCTAAAATAAACAACTTGCAACAAAACCGCGGTTAAAACCAACGCGTTCAAGCGATTCGTGTAACTGACGTCATCAACCCGTGTGTCATCTTGAACCATATTATAACCGCGGCACATAACACAGACATTTTGGTTATTCGCTTGGATTTGATTATAAATTGTGAGAATGTCAATGAAGTCTTGTCAAATGATATCACACGGGAACAATCACGAGTGCGTGAGGTAACAATAATGTGTATCTGAATACATAATTTCTACGAGTTAGAAGGCTTTCTTCACGTATTTCTCGCGTAACGTGAGCTTGCATAATAGATTGTGAGCTCATGTGGCATATGACAGTGTATCCTTTTAGACGTTCAACGGTAAATACAAATGGAGTATGTATATGTATGTAGGTATAAGTCTTTTGGATGTCAAATCAAAGAATGACTAGACAGGGGTACCAAACCGAAACCCCTTTTTCGTTTTATATCATACGCCCTTCAATTGAGTAACTGTCGTGGTAGCAGTAGGTTGTGGCATTTTGGGTGTGCCTCTAAGCGGTAAAGCTCCTTTTAAGCCTAAAGTACGAAAAAGCGTGTTTCGGAAGTCCTCGGAGAACAGACAGTAGATATAAAAGGTGATCGAGTAGTTTGTGATCTCTAGTAGGTTGGCTATTGCACGGAACACCTGCAAAAGAAAAAATGAAGAAAGTTGATACGGAATGAGTTGTCATTTATATAACGCCAACAAAAAAGTAGGCAGAATTACATATAAATAGGTCACCAACAAACAAAAGAAACACAAAAAAGCACAATACATATTTAAAATAGGAAAAGCGAAGTTGCAGCAATAAGACAATTAATCGGAATACTAAAGTCTTGACTTATGGTTCATTTATATACAACACTGCCAGTTACAATGTGAGCACAAGATTGGTTGTAAAGAAAGCAGAAATTCTAGTAAAAGGCTCTATAATAACCAACAGGAAAAACATCCAAGCTTCTCCAACACTTCACACAAAAATTGAAGCAAAAACACACAAAGAAGTATCCAAGATCAGCATTAATGTCAGCTAAGCTTACAAAATATTTGCAGAACGCTATGAATTGTAATTACATCACATCATATAAGCAGGCGAAAATACAAGTGTCAGTCTTTGGTATAGCTAAATAAAAAACTCACCTGATAGTCGTACTTCACAAGATTGGCTTCCGCAAGGGTGACATTGAGTATGACCATTGGTGTAACGCACACCAAAAATAAGATACTGGTACTTCCCAGTAGTAACACCAGTCTTCTCTCCTCTGCAAATTTTCTGAAAGCATCACATATGGCAATACTTTTAATTCAATATACATTTACGTGCTTTTATATAAAAGCTTTGATTAGAATGAGAAACCTCAAAAAACGAGTTATTCGTCGATATATTTATTGATGTAAATCACACGTATAGTGACTGGGTATTTTTTTAGAATGGTACATGTTATCTCTTCTACAACATGTTTTTTGAACAGGGCCTTGATATATTCCGAATAATAATGCTTTTGAGCTAGCCTCTGAAGAGAGCCTATTGTCATCACGTCAGGGCTTCGGGAAGCCTTCTTGTCAGAATGTCAATCGGAAAATCGATGTACAGGGTATCTGAGAATAACGTGGCAGTCTCTCGTACGCACATGAAACACAAAACATAATTATACAGGTTCCTGAAAAAACATCATGTGGATAGAGGCCTGAGGTCATTACAAAAAAACATTTAGTTGATACACTTGATAGGTCTTTATCCTCTTATAACGGAGATTTTGGCTGTTTCCTTATGGCGTCACAACTTTTTAACACCCTGTTATATTTTTCTGAAACTCGGTACGCATACTCACCTCATGCTATCGTATCGATTACAATACGAACAGGAAACGAAATACAGGTCCGGACTAGTTGAAATTTGACAAAACCAAACGAAAGTAAACTGTATTTAGGAATTCTTTAATAAATGAGTTGGAAACACTAAATAGAAAAGAGTGTTGCGGAGACCTTTAAGGTGCACAGCAAAAGCATCATGTAGGACAGAGCTACAGATAATAGTTGAACACTGCTGCAAAATGTGGATGAGTGTTTCAAGCAAGAAGTACCAAGAGACTGAAGAAATTTTTAATCATTCTATGCTCGTTTGTCCTGGCCTGAGTGATACAAGCACCACTAGTGAATCACTTATAAGCTATAAAACTGCTTGGTCGATCAAACTATTACATATACAGGTACATATAATATATACTCAGTGACATTAGAAGTCTTACACCCAGAAAGTGTTTTCAACTTGATTTTTTCGCAGTGAGGTAGTCTTACATTAAGAATGAAACGGTAACATTCTCACGAAATTCTATCGACAAGTAATGGGAAAAAATAATGTGTTGGGCGAACTCCACAGCTGAATACACTCCTGTATACGTCTAGGGATCGAAAAAATGAGATGATCGATGGATGTCTAGTTGTGGCACCTGATTTAATGCAACCCGGACTGCTGTGGCAGCGTCTGTGACGGATGGTGCAAAGTGAATAGTCTTCTCCCCATCATATCCCACACATGTTCGATGAGATTTAAATCCTGTGAACTGGGTGGCCACGACAAAACATTAACGCCTGATTCTTGAAGAAAGTGCGTAGTATGACGAGCAACTTGGAGATGTGCGTTGTCTTGCTGAAAAAGGACGTGTGGACGGCCCTCTAAATACAGCAGTAAAGTGGTTTGTAGGACATCATCAACATAATGCGCAGCAGTCATATTGCCTTGAACAAAGAGAAGGGGTGATCGGCTTCCATAGGCAATAGCCCTCCCAACCATTACTCCAACAGCCCTGGGTACATGCCTCTCAACAGTAATCCAATATCACGTCGTTCCCCACGGCGGCGTCTTACCCTTTTACACTCATCGTGCATACCTACACAGAATCGCGATTCGTCGCTGAAGATGACATTATGCCATTCTGCCTCCCAATGTTGCCGTTCTCTGCTCCAGTTCAAACTTTGACGACAGTGGTCCGCAGTCCGAGAAAGCACTTACTGTGGACGGTATGAAAAAAGTCCAAAAGCTCGAATGCGGCGATAGAGTCTACGCATAGTAACAGGTCTACCTTCTTCTCCAAACCATTGGTCAGCGATCTGACGGGTAGTAGTAGCAGCAAAAGTGTCTCGTAAGGCTAGTTGTCTGAAGCGCCTATCTTGACGCTCTGTGGCACGCCTCGGTGGACCAGTTGGCCTTTTTCGTGTTCCTCTACCTTCTTCTATCCACACACGACACACACGCATTACGGTCATTGCAGTAAAATTAACACGACAGCCAATATCGTGATAGGACAAACCAACATCTCGATAAGCAATAATTCTATCCTTGTCAAAGTCGCTAACAAGGTGACAATTTGGATGTCATCGAACTCGAGGCATTTTGGTATGCTTAATACTAGTGAATGGGAGAGCAATAACTCAGCATATCTGTACTACTCATCTCTCAGAAACTGATCTCTTCACAAAAATTAAGGGATAACAGTTTAACAAAGGTAAATAAAAACAAAGATAAAACGTTGACATTGTTGCCACAGCATGCTTTAAATATAGTCATTAT